TTCTTTACAAAGATGAAATTAAGCCCTAGCAGGTTTAGCTCAGTGGATAGAGTGTCAGCCTGTGGACTGCAGGTTTCCGGGTTCAATTCTGATCAAGGGCACATGCCCAGGTTGTGGGCTCAATTCCCAGTGTGGGGTATGCAGGAGGTAGCCAATCAATGATTCTCTCTCATCATTGATGTTTCAATCTCTCTCTCCCTCTCCCTTCCTCTCTCTGAAATCAATAAAAATATATTTAAAAAATAAATGATAGCCCTGACCGGTTTGGCTTAGTGGATAGAACATCAGACTGTGGACTGAACGGTCCCAGGTTCAATTCCAGTCAAAGACATGTACCTTGGTTGCAGGCATATCCCCAGTAGGGTGTGTGCAGGAGGCAGCTGATCGATGTTTCTCTCTCATCGATGATGTTTCTAATTCTTTATCCCTCTCCCTTCCTTTCTGTAAAAAAAGTCAATATATTAAAAATAATAAATGATAAAAAATATGAAAATAATAAACTACCTGATTTGAACAAACTTTCTGAAATAAACTAGCTGTTTTGAACAAACTTTTTGAAAGGACATCGTGACACTAATAATTTGTGGTTGAATTAGTGATATTCAGAAAGTCAAGCAAATAAACAAATAAGCCCAGAAAACAAAATACCCATAGCATAGTGTTTCTTAAACGTAATGTGCGCTAAATTCATAAATATAAACATATAGTAGCTTATTGTATGTGTGTGGGGGGATAGTGATAAAAGCTAGGCACTAGCTCTCTAGATCTAAATTTCCATATTTCTATATAGTAAATTGAAAAATAAGTCATAAAAGAACACAAATCTTAAGTGTGCACAAGAACTACTTGGGGATCTTGTTAACCTGTTAACTGAGCGGGACCTATAAATATGTCAAACGTAAACAATATTGGGAACGGGTAGGACGTATGAATACGTCCTTGAAATATGTTGCGCTCTGAGAGGGACGGTATATATTTTTTGTAATCTTTATAATAGTAAAATTTATAATTTTTTAATTCGATGTTTCCATTTTTTTGTTGGTATTCTTTTCTATTTGTTTGTAATTTTGTATTTTCCTTTGTGCTTTATATATAAATAAATGAAAAAATATATATTTCATTTATTTTAATTAAGAATAAATAAAGAAAATAATATAAAATTACGTCCACTGGGCGTGACATACTGACAGGTCTTAGTGAAAGAGTATGTGCCCGTTGTAAGTTGAGTAATTAAAAAGGGAACTCCCCGGTTAACAGGTTTAAAATGATTTGAATTCTGGGCTGGGGCCAGAGTCTACATGTTCACAAGCTCCCAGGGGAGGCCAGTGCTGCTGAACCTCCTACCACACTCTTGAGTACCTTAGTACATAGCTCAGCTACAAATGGAATAGATGGTAACAATGTAAATGGTGAATAGTGATTAAAATTATAATAGGAGGGAAGGTAGGAAGCAGACATGCATGTGGTGGGATAAAGGAAGAAAATCTAAATCCTCCTAAAATGGAATATCTAAAATTGAAACCATGAAAACTAGCTGGCTCTTTATATACAGATATAATATTGATAACAATAAGGCCTTTAAAAGTAAGCAAAGGATATAAACATAATTCATTGAAATAAATATAAGTGGTATTTCAACATATGAATAAATGCTCAATCTTACTCATTAGAGAAGATTCCATTTTTCACTTGATTGGCAAAGAAAAGTTCAATTATGCATTCATTGCACTATGAAGAAAGAGCAATACAATGTTATAGCAATAGTTCTGAGATCTTCCTGACAATACTTATTGCCAAAACAATTTTAAAGTCACCTTTTCTTTATTTTTTTATTTTATTTTTTCACTTTACTCTTTTTTAAAATTTTTTTTATTTTGAAGGAATATTTAATTTTAACATTGTGAGTTATTATCTTTTGCATATCCAAGTTACACATTTCAAACAAATCGTCATTTATATTTAAGTATACAAATGCAAAGCATTAATTTCCCACTAAATCATCACTTTCTTAAAATGGTACATGTGATGTTATGAAATTAGCTATTAAGCATTCGAAATAGTGGAAAAGAGGTCCTTTCTTCAGTCTTTTTTTTTTTTTTAAATATATATATATTTTTTGATTTTTTTTTGCCCCCCCCCCTTCCTCCCTCACATCCCCTCCCTCCCCAGAGTTTTATGTCCATTGGTTGTACTAAGTCACCTTTTCTTTAAAAAATATATTCTTTAAAATATATTTTTGATTTCAGACAGGGAGAGGGATAGAAACATCAATGATGAGAATCTTTGATTGGCTGCCTCCTGTACGCTCCCCATTGGGGATGGAGCCATAACCCAGGCATGTGCCCTTGACAGGAATCAAACCTAAAACATTTGTCCATGAGCTAACGCTTTATCCATTGAACCAAATCGGCTAGGACTCCAGTCATCTTTCTGTGACAAATATTTTGTTAACTGCCCCAATATCCATTCTCCACTACTTTCTTGTTGGCTGCCTCTATCAGGACTAAAAAAACCATATATCCACTTTCCCAGCTTGCCTTGCAGCTGAAAATGGACATGTGCCATGGGTCTGAACCTCTGAATCAGGAGAATACATACCTAGGCTAAATAGTATATTGTTCCCAGGCTACAAACCTGTTATTGTACTGAACACTGTAGGCGAGTATAACACAACAATTAAATATTTGTTTATCTAAGTGAGCACACCGAAACATAGAAAAAGGCAAAGTAAAAATATGGTATAAAAGCTAAAAAAGGGTACACCTGTATAGGGCACTTACCATGATTGGAGCTTGTAGAACTGTAACTTGCTCTGGTGATCCAGAAAGTGGTGAGTGAATATGAAGGCCTAGGACAGGACTATACAGTACTGTAGATTTTATAAACACTTTGCCCTTAGGCTACACTAAATGTATAAAACAACATGAGATGAACGAAATTAAGTACAAGACAAATGATGTAATCAAGAGCCACAGTAAGCACAAGATGTGAGCTGCTGATGGTATAACATGGCAAATGGTTTTATAGCAAACTTTTTTTTATAAGTAGAAAACGTACATTCTAAAATAGTAATATAGTATAGTAAATACATAAACCAGTAACAGTCATTTGTTATTATCAGGTACTAGAAGGCTGATGCACAAAGATTCATGCTAGAATGGGCTTTCCTTTCCCTGGCTGCCGGCCCAGCCCCTTTCTGCTCAGGCTCCAGCAGGCTGCCTCCTTCCAACTTCCCATGCTGCCCAGAGGCCCTGAGACTGGGGATGGGGCAGAATGCCTGCGTCATTGCCAAGACAATGATGCAAACTTTCCACCCTTCACTTGGTATCTCTATATGCAAATCAACCACCACCTTTGTTGGGCTAATTTGCATATCACTCCTGATTGGCTGGTGGCATGGCAAAGGGTATGGTCAATTTACATGTCTGTCTATTGTTAGGTAGATTATGTATGTGTATAATTGTATGTGCAATATTTCTATGTGACTGGCAGAACAAATTTGTTTATATCAGCATCAACATAAACACAAGTAATGCCTGTTGTGCTCCAAATTTACAACAGCTACTACGTCATTAGGGGATAGGAATGATAGGAATTTTCAGCTCCGTTATAATCTTATGGGATCACAGTTGTATATGTGGCCCATCACTGACTAAAACACTATTGGGCAGCACATGACTAACAGCACTTCCAAAAGCAGAAGGAGTCACAGAAGGCAGTTCCCCTGAGAGTCTCAGTGGCAAAAACATAAGGCCAGATAGGGATTCTCTTTAACTTTACAAAAAATTCAGACAGTGCTTTGCAATAAAGGTAGAATTAGCAATCCAATTTAATTTATTGAAAAAGGTGTATCTCAAGGTGCTAAAGCATAAGTAATTTTAGAATTCAATGAAAACAATGTCCTTAAGGTTACAAAATAAGCAAACCTAAAGCTTAAACTCCAGGACTGTCCATGTCAAAAAACCAGTAACTGAACTATTCAATTACAATCACTAATTAAAAGAATATGATCTAGCCCTCAGTGGGTGGCTCTGTTGGTCGAAGCGTCATCCCATACACTAAAAGGTTGTGTGATTGATTCCTGGTCAAGGCACACACATAGGTTGTGGGTTAGATCCCCAATCGGGGTGCATAAGGTGGCAGATTGATGTTTCTGTCACATCAATATTTCTTTCCTTTCCTCCTCTCTAAAAAGAAAATCAATTAAAAATTAAAAAAATATCTATCGACTGGGTGTTCATAGACCTCCAAGAGGAATTTACTACTTTCTTCTACTTTTAAAGTCATGCTAAACACCTACTACCCATTTTATTCTTTTATATTTTTATTATTATTTCTAAAATATATTTTTGATTTTTACAGAGGCAGAGGTTGATAGAAACATCACTGATGAAAAGCATCATTGACTGCCTGCCTCTTTCATGGCCTATACTGGGGAATCAAGCCTGCAATCCAGGTATGTGCCCTGACCAGGAATCAAACTGTGGCCTCCTGGTTCATAGTTCGACATTCAACCACTGAGCCATGCCAGCCAGGTTTCCCATTTTATTCTTTTAAATTATCTCTTCCACTGGCATTAATTCGTAAGCAAAAACTACATAGTCAGTTTTGAATTTTATTTCATTAGCTTAAAAGGTGAACAATATGTGTTTTAAATCTTATTAAACTCATTATCTGAACATTTTTACATAAAGCACAGATACAGGATTTCAAGTAACTTATGGCAGAGGCCACTGTCCTTTTAAAAATAAGCTTCTTTCTTCCACAAAAACTGCATTGAAAGACAAAAAAATTTTCTTTTATACTGCATAAGAGCTAGATGCAAACTTTTTATGTAAATTTATTTCATTGTCAACTCTCATGCTAAAGCTGGGAGGCACAAATGTTTATAGTTCAGTTAAATGATACAAACAAAAAGCTTCAGTTTCTCCCAGATACAAATCAGAAAGCTCCATTCACGACTCTTACAGCAATATGTCAGACTTGATTGTCTTGCCAGGTCACTTCTTCTTCTTTCCTTTCCCTTTTTTACTTCCCTCTCCTTGCTGAAGAGTTTGGTCACTACCTCCTGTTTTTTGTGTCCTTGTTTTTAGTTTAGGAATCATTTCTGCTGCATACAACATTACTGACTTACCTAGGAACCAGAAATTAAGGTTAGTATATAATCCATGAACTAAGATGCAAAAGGTCATTAACTTGAATATCATAAAGTTCAAGAAATCATCACACCACATAAAAAAAATGAGAAGGATTTAAACAAACAAACAAAAAAATGACTATAAAGGCAATGATGGTGGTGAAAGTATTGAGAACAATGCTGAAATATTTAAAATAATACAATCAAAATTTAAGTGTAAAACAAAAAATTGGGTCTTGGTCCTAGTAATTAACTTGAAAATCCAAGGAGAACTTTTCTACACATAAGAAATTGGAAACAGCATATCATTATAACTTTTAAGCCATGGAAACACACAATATAGTGTACAGATGACATACTGTGGAATTGTTCACCTGACACCTGTATAATTTTGTTAACCAGTGTTCACCCCAATAAATTAAAAAATAAAACACTAGGGATAATGCTAGTCTTCTCTTACAATAACCTCCTTTGCCTATTCCCTACCCTTTGCCTTGCTTTTGCCATTAGGTTAACTACTATCTTAAGACCAGGTATTTTCTTACTTTGTTTTTAAATTTACCTAAGTGGTAATACTATCTCTTGCTTTTTTTCACTAAGAGTGGCTTTTTATATTAATGAAATTATAAGTAAACATCAAGAACTCTAGGATCTGAAATGGCAATGAACATCTGACAATTTAATAATTTTACATTCTTAACGTAGGAGCAATGATAGACTTTCAGAGGTTTACAAAATGTTTACAAAACAGTATTTTTGGAGGAAACCATTAATAAGTTTCATCATATTATCAAATAGGTCCTTAACTTAAAGTGGAACTGCCATTTGATGCCCGTGGCCCACTTCTAGAAATATATTCCAAGAATCCCAAAACACCAATCAGAAAGGATATATGCATCCCTATGTACATAGCAGCATTATTTAAAATAACTAAGATTTGTAAACAGCCTGAGTGCCCACCAGTAAAAGCTGTGGTAGGTACATTTACACAATGGAATACTATGCAGCTTTAGAAAAGATGGATTCTTGCATGGGTGGTGTGGCTCAGTGGTTGAGTGTTGATCTGTGAACCAGATCATGGTCAGAGCACATGCTGGGGTTGCCAGGAGGCGCCAATGATTCTCATCATTGATGTTTCTGTTTCTTTCTCCCCCCCCCCTCTCTCTCCCCCTCCCCTTCTTCCCCTCTCTCCCCCTCTTCTTCTTTCTCTTTCCCCCTTCCTCTCTGAAAACAAAACAAAACAAATTATATATACGATCTCTTACTCTTTGAGACAGCATGGATGGACCTGGAGAGTATTATGCTAAGTGAAATAAGCCATTCAGAGAAAGACAAGTATCACATGATCTCACTCATATGTTTAATGTAATAAAAAATAAATAAATTGACCCACAAAATAAGCATGCAACAGACTGAAGAATCTCAGAGTGGGGGAAGGAGAGGGTGCAGATGGTAACAGATTTTATATACTGATATGCATAACCCATGGACACAGACAATAGGATGGGGAAGACTTGAGGTGGGGTGGGAATTGGGTGGAGGGGGGCAATGAGAGTAAAAAGGGAGAGACATCTGTAATACTCTCAACAATAAAGATTAAAAAAAATAAAACAAAACAAAAAAATGTATCCCAGCCTCCAAAGTTAGAAGCACTGTTTACCCCTGTATCAGTGGTAGTCCTTTCTCTAAATTAGTCTGTAGAACACACATTTTTACCTTTCAAAAGATCAGAAACTTCTTTGCAGTGTAGAGGAATGAATAACCTATCCCCAAATTTTACTCATTCATTTAAAAAAGCTTACGTGATGGGAACTGTGTAAGACAGAGGCTGCCATCTTCCTGTTTGAGTTGAATCCGGACTCTGCCCCTGTACTGAGCATCACGATTCCATTCTCGGGAGTACATTTTGTTTTTCTAATAGAAAAGAAAAACAGGCTTTGTTTAAGGATGTTATTATATCAATGAGATGAGAATGGAAAATAGTAAAGGAAGGACCACATCATACCTCAAGAAATGCATTAAGTCCAACTGCTGAGCACACATCTTGAATCTCTGTAGCTGTAGGATTTTCAACAGCCTGAACAATTAAAAAAAAAACACTAAACAGCTTAGCTTTAAGTAGGTACTACAATACTGTGTAAATCATTTCAAATACTATGATCAAAACATGTATCAAACCCAAGGTTTCCATTTCTACTAGATCCAGCTGTTTCCACTATAACGTAAAAACAAACAAACAAAAAAAACAACCCTGGAATAATACTGATCAATCCTTGTGTTGTTCATCTCCCCTCCAACAGAACATACACTTCATAAGTGGAAGGACTAATTTGTTCATCGGTATATTCCCCAACATCTGGCATGATACTTGGAGCATAGTAGGTGCTCAGTGAATACTGGTTAGACAATTATTACAGATACAACCACTTTAGAAAATTATTTGGTTCTATCAAAGCCAAAAGTATGCATTCATTATGGACATGCAATTGCACTTTTAAGTATATATTTTAAAAATGCAAAACTATGTTCACTAAAGACAAATTCAAGAATGTTCACAGCAGCTCTAATTACAATAGCCCCAAACTACAAACAACCCAGTTATGCATCGATGGTATAGTCATACAATGCAATACTACATAGCAGTGGTTGTCATTAAGGTAATTTTGCCCCCTGACCCATCCACTCAACATTTGGCAATGCTTTGGAAACATTTTTTTTAAAAAAATATATATTTTATTGATTTTGTACAGAGAGGAAGGGAGAGAGAGAGTTTAGAAACATCGATGAGAGAGAGAGTCATTGATCAGCTGCCTCTTGCACACCCCCTACTGAGGATGTGCCCGCAACCAAGGTACATGCCCTTGACCGGAATCGAACCCGGGACCTTTCAAGTCCCCAAGCCGATGCTCTATCCATTGAGCCAAACCGATTTCGACTGGAAACATTTTTGATTGTCACAACTAGGATGGTGTAGGGCACTGGCACCTAGTGAGATGCTAAACAACCTAAAACACACAGGATAATTATCTGGCTCAGGCCAAAACCGGTTTGGCTCAGTGGATAGAGCCTCAGCGGACTGAAAGGTCCCAGGTTCGATTCCGGTAAAGGGCATGTACCTTGGTTGCAAGCACATCCCCAGTAGGGGGCGTGCACAAGGCAGCTGATTGATGACTCTCATCAATGTTTCTAACTCTCTACTATGTATCTCTCTCCCTTCCTCTCTGAAAAAAAAAAAAAAATCAATAAAATATATTAAAAAAAAAAAAAGAATTATCTGGCTCAAAAGGTCAAAGGTGCTGCTGTTGAGAAACGCTATTACAAAGCAGTGAGAATTAAACTTCACTCAAAAATGTGGATAAATCTCAAGCTTAAAGTTCGGTGAAAAATAGATGTAAAAGTCATAGTAATGCACTTTAAATAAAACTCATAAACAAGCAAAAGTAATCTATGGTGATGGAAGTCAGCAGTGGTTCTCCTTGTATGTGAGTATATATGGAGAGGACAATGACTGGGAGGGGATAGAAAGGAATCTTCCTGGGTGCTGGTAATGTTTTCTTTCTTTAAATTAGGGTGATTACCCATGTGCATTCATTTTGTGAAAATTAAGACACTTAAGATTTTTGTATGTTTGCTTGCTATATATCGATGAAGTTCAAAACAACTTAATCATTCTCCAAATTATCTGACAGCTTGCTACCAGAGGGCTGTTGCAGGGAGTCAGGCATTATTCTGAACCAAAGCTTTGGTGTCTTCTGTTATCCAGAGGCAGCAAAACAGACTTTCTTTTACACATTTAAGCAGAAAGTGAGATATAAAATAACTCAAGAATAACAAAGTCAAGGCTTCAGACCAAGTTACCTTGACCCTGTTGTTAGAATACAAAATGTGCTTCTTAAAAAAAAAAAAAAATGACATCAATTTTGAAAATAAAAGGTATCAACAAAGTCCCTTCTCCCCTGAAGGGCCAAGGTATCAGCCTGCTTACCTTACTGATGGGGATTCGCCTGCCCTCCGCGATGGTCTTCTTGTTATTTAAATAAGCAGGGTAAATACAAACAAACCTGCCACAGAAAAAATACAGCTGGTATCACCGGAGCAGTGTTCCCAAAACCTCACCCCTTCATCCCCTCATTATCGTGACTGCCAGTACACCCACAATATGAGTCGCATCTTTTTTTCTTTATATTATCTCCCTTTCACTTAACTTAAAAAGTAAACTTTAACTCACTACCTTAAATGGAAAAGAACCCTACTTGCTACAGAATATTTAAAACAACAATGTCTTAACTGTTTGTTCACTTAGATACAGGTCCCCCGCCACAAGGGCCTGTGGGGGGGATCCACTCTCGTGTATAGAAAGTACGGCGTTGGCCCTGACCGGTTTTGCTCAGTGAATAGAGCATCGGCCTGGGGACTGAAGAGTCCCGGGTTCGATTCCAGTCAAGGACATGTAGTCTGGTTGCGGGCACGTCCCAGTGGGGGTGTGTGCGGGAGGCAGCTGGTCGATGTTTCTCATTGATGTTTCTAACTATCTCCCTCCCTTCCTCTGTTAAAAAAAAATCAATAAAATAATTTTTTTAAAGTACGGAATTAGAGGTATTAATAAACCTAAAAAACTCAAACGAGCCTTCGTGAACGCCGCAATAGGGAAAAAATTGAGTTCTCACGTAGTTACTCTGTTCGGTAATGTCATGTGCACGGAACACCCAATGTGTTTTGAGTGGCGCACGGGCAAACCAGGGAACTACCGGGCTACCGGAGGGTGGCATTTCAAGGACCCCGCGGAGAGGCCGGAGCGGGGGCCTCCGGGAGGAGCGGACCCCGCGGAGAGCCCGGTGCGGGGGCCTCCAGGAGGAGGAGGAGCGGACCCTGCGGAGAGCCCGGAGCGGGGGCCTCCGGGAGGAGCGGACCCTGCGGAGAGCCCGGAGCGGGGCCTCCGGGAGGAGCGGACCCTGCGGAGAGGCCGGAGCGGGGGCCTCCGGGAGGAGCGGACCCCGCGGAGAGCCCGGAGCGGACCCCGCGGAGAGGCCGGAGCGGGGGCCTACGGGAGGAGCGGACCCCGCGGAGAGCCCGGTGCGGGGGCATCCAGGAGGAGCGGACGCCGGGGAGCAGATCGGAGCCTCCTCGCGCGCCTTTCCCGGGGCCGGGAAGCGGCGCTACCTCCGCGGGCTCGCGGCGAGCCCCTCCCGCCTCAGGACCCACCTGTCCTGGTCGGCCTGGGACCGCGCCGCGGCGCAGGCCATCTCCGCCCGCGCCCACTGGGGTGAGACCCGCCGGCAAACCCGCCGGAAGGCCGCTGCTCTGATTTCCCAGACAAACCCATTTCCGGCGGAAGTCCTGCCCTCCGGAACGCCTTCGCGTCCCCGGCCTTTCCCCGTCCGTTTGTTCCGGCACCTGTCGCTCGGCGCCGGAGTCCCGGCTCCTGACGTGGCGTTGGGCCCTATCCTCTCGCGAGAGCGTCCGCAAACGCCTCCGATGCTTTCCCTGGTGTCCTCAAAGAGAGGCGTTTTGGGCGCATGCGCCCTCGCTAACATGGAATTCCTCACCGAGTGCTAGACGCGCTCACCTATAGATTAATCCTATCAGATAAGGCCCTCATTTTTAATTTAATTATTGGGGTGACATTGGTTAATAAGATCATACAGGTGTCAAGTGTACATTTCTATGATACATGATCTATACACATTGCTATGTGTTAAGCCTTCATTCTTATGATCTTATTTTACCTTAAATTAGTTCTTTAGAGGCCCCATCTGCAAATACAGCCACTGGTTCCATGATTTTTTTTTGTCAATTTTTGTATTTGTAATTTTGCTTCATACATTTGGAGCTATATTTGACATTTAAAGAGAGCGTCATAACTGATGTTCATTTCCTGTTCATTGTTTGATTTTTTTTTATCCATAATACTTTGACATAAATTTGCCATATCTGCTTTCTGTACTTTTTCTTTTTTAATCGTCCTCACCTGAGGACAATTTTTCATTTACTTTTAGACAGAGTGGAAGGGACGGGGAGTGACAGAGAGAAACATCAATGTGAGAGAGACAGATTGATTAGCTGCCTCCTGCATGTCCCCTGACCAAGGCCAGGGATTGAGCCTGCAAGTGAGGTACGTGCCCTTTACGGAATTGAACCCAGGATCTTTCAGTCCATGAGCTGATGTTCTATTCACTGAGCCAAACTGGCTAGGGCACTTTTTGTACTTTTTTTTTTTTTTTTGCATTTGCTAATGGTATTTAATTGGATTGTTTAGGTTTTCTAAAAACTTGACTTCAAGCTGAGAGTGGTTCTTTTACTCTTCATGTTCAATCCACTCATTATTTGGTAGTACTCTCATTTCATGCTTCTTTGTGAAATACAGCCCTCTGCCATTTCTCCTGTCCTTTGATATCTTGGTTGATTTCCTAGTTGTTATTTTTGGGCTAGTGATTTGGATGGGAAGTTTTATTTCTATCATTGGAGTTACTATTAAATGAAAATATTGATTCTGTATTTTTCTAAAAGTAAAAAAGTATCTCTGAACACTGCCTATGTAAGATTAGAAATTTAGCATGCTTTTACATCTTCTCTTCCTTCTAAATATTGTTTCCCAGATTGGTTTGGAGTAACTTGAATTTAAGATTAAAATTATTACAAATTTCATCTTTTTCATTTTGAGTTACTTGGGCACTCACATTGAGATTCATTATCAGACTAACCACAATTATTTATGCATTTATTCAAGTTTAATTTTTTTTGCTCAGATGGTTTACTTAAAGCCTGTTAAATTCTTGGGATACTAAGGCAGAAATAGGTCATGGGTTCTGATTGTCCAGTTCTTTGGAAATGCTCCTCATAGATTTGGGGAATTCATGTTTTATGAATGCAACATGTGACATAGCCTCTGCCAATCACGGCCACCCAAGCAAGGCTCCAGAAGTGAGCAGTGTGAGGAAGCAAGTGCCTCATGTAATGTTACTTAGGGATAGAGTTTGAGGGGCACCTGAATCTTGACCAAAGCAGCCCCACTCTATGAATGAATTTTTGGCCCATATGCAAACCCTGTAGACTACTTAATATTCTCTAAATGAACAAACATATTTGCTCTTCTAGGGAAGGTCTTGTTGATAACGATAATAAAAATTATGAATGATAGTACTTCAGATATATTAAATGCTAGCTTGGCTGGCTTCAGAATTCTTAGGTAACATTTCTATTCCCTTCCAAATGCTGCATATATGGTTTTACTGCTGCTTTTCATTTTTGGTATTTAATATGGCAGAGAAGAAATTTGATGCCAACTCCCTTTTTTTGTAGGCAACGTATTCCTCTCTCCCCACAGAAAGAGAACGTTTTATATTTGAAATTAACTCACTAAAATGTGTCTAAATATGGTTTTCTGGTAGTTCAAAATTACTTCAGGAGCAAAGAGGGTTTAAAAGTTCATAAGTGCCCCCAAACACAAGGACAGGTAGAACCAGGTCTCATAAATGGCAGGGACTGAGATAAAACCAGGAGCTTGCTGGTTTTATCTCTCCCATATCTGGACCCTTCTTTCTTCACTGGCTGGTTTTCCCTTAGTTGTAGCTTCAGGATGCCAATCATACACAATAACTCTTGGCCTTAACTCTGTAAGATCTTTCAGTTCCAGCTTTCAGTCACCACCAGAAAATGTCTTTGTGACTCTTACTTGAAATCGATTGGCCCAGGCTTTTCTTTAAGCCAGGTCATACAAGTATTTGGTAACTGGTCATTTGATGATGAGTCTCCCCTATGACAGGGGCAAGACTGGGTATGTGGTTCAGTGACCAATTAGTGATGCTAAGTGTTTGGATTCCAAAGGTGAGGCAGGTAGAGCAGGTAATTTTTGACATTGTTCTCAAAGTTATGTTTCACCAATGTTGCTTTATATTCAATGGTCATCTTCATTAGTATACATTATGAGTATTTTTAATTTAAAAATAGTAACAATCACATAACTTCAAGAAAATGAACGAATAGTCACAAATATAGAGAAAGAATTATCCTGAATATCAGAGGAAAGAAAGTATATTTAGCACCAAGAACAATATTATACACATAAAACATACAGGTTGAAAGAAGTATTGATGGCCTAACAAAAACCAGAATATTGTTTTAAAAACCAGAAAATAGTTTTATAGTCCACAGAACAGAGTTAAGGGAATGGCAAGGAAACGACCTGCTGTTTACAGGAGGCAAAGTCCATAGGTTTCAACATGATAAAGCAGTATTTTCAGGTCAGCAGAAGAGGAGGAAAATATGCTTATTAAAAATTAAAAAATAATGTATATATTTCAGCCACCACGACTTGTCAAAAATTACTTCTGTTCAGTAATTTTAATGATTTGACCACTCAATTCTTTCTTCAGCTCTTGGCAATAAATAGGTTTTGCATTTCTGGCACTCGTATTTTTTTCCTTAGATACAAAGAAACCCAGTGATAACATAAATTCAAATGTAGTGCAACTGGCTTCTACCCTCAGCAACAGATTCATCCCTTCACTTAATCTTGTGGTAACATGATCTATATTTGTTTTTTTTTGTTATTTTTTTACTATACTTACGGTACTATTTGATCCTTAAGGCTTACCTTTTATTTCATTATTTCCCGCTTATTAACTGTCCTTTTAGTGCTCAGATAACTTGTAAAGTTTACTCTCAAAAAATATATAAAAAAAAAGTTTACTCTCAAATACCAATCTAATTTGCCATACAGTTAATGGATTGTTAGTCACTCCCACTGTATATTAACAAATTAGGTACATTTACCTTACACCTGAAATAATTTCAAAGTTCCTTTTCATAGTCTCTACTATTGCAAATACAAATGAGATACTTGCTAAAATTGCCTTCACAATAACTGCTTCAAAGGGAACAGCAGCTGGTCCCTCAGATTCACTTTCTATAAAATTGCTTGTTCATGTCTGGTAAATGTGTCCACTATTGGGAGTGGAGATGAGCTATATCAAATTGCATAGCTCAGTATTCAAGTCTTTCATGCCTAAAGGTGAGGAAAGCTTATTTGTTGATATAACTGTCAAGGTTACTGGTAAAGGTCCAGTTGTTGAGAATGACTAGAACCGAATAGGGCAGTTGCTCTCTAAGTGTGGTTCCAGACCAGCACCGTCACTGTGAACTGTGAGAATTGCAAATTCTTGGATCCCACTCAGAATCAGAAATGGGTATGGGCCCAGTTGTTTTAATAAGCACTTCTGGTGATTCAAATGCACTGGCTTGAAAACCATTGCTGTTGTGGTTTGCTGCTGTCCAAAGCTAGATATTTCTCTCAACAGGCATCACAACTATTAACTATCCTCAAAACTAAGCTCAGTATGCCATTTAAGTAACAAGCAATATCTGGTGATAGGACAGCACCGTGAACTTCTAAAAGTATAATTGGGACTTGCTCCTTTATTAATTCTCTAACTAGAGGGTCTCAGAGAACAACTTCCCCCACAATGGGTAATATGAACTGGTCCTTCTCCCAGTAGATGTTCCTATAGGAATTCCTGAGTTTTCTGGCATGTGGAAGGCACCCTTCTTTTCATTTCCAGCATTGATAATATTTTGCCTTACTTGAAAAGGACCATTTTTCCCCCCCCTTACTTGGAAAGGGAAATTTAACTTTAATTGGCTTACATCCCATTTCTTTCCACAAGAGCACTCAAAGTGGTTTATAAAACCTGGTATGCAATAAACCAGAAAAAATAAAAAATCAGGACTAAAAGAGGAGGAAAGAAATATGACCTATATGCACATATCTCTATTGAGTAAGGCAGACTAAGAAAAATACAAATAGAATAAATTAGTATTGTTATTCACAACTATTTCATTTAGTTAAAATTTGACAAAAATTTAAATGTAAATATAGTCCAAAGATCAGTAAAATGAGGCCTTTGTAAAGTGGTGCAGAGAAAAGCGTATGGACTTTGGAATAAAATGCCTTAATTTTAGCACTCTATTTACTGGTATTTTATTTTAGAAAACCAGCCTCATTACTGGTAGATGATAGACACAGATAAGGGGTAATTAACTACATGATGCGATTCCTAGGGCACAAGATAGATGTGCTGACTCCTCCTCACCCCTTTCCCAGTGCCCCTCTGTACCTACGTATCTTTTTCCATCTCCAAATGCAGAATGCACGAATCTCCTTAAAAATAAAATTTCATTCAACAAATGTATTTATCCTCCTCACCCTCTGATCTTTTAGGACAAACTCTGGGAAGATAAATGATCTTTATTAATAAATGTATCAGTTTATCTTCCTTCATGAAGAGGATTCTCCCTGCCATGTTAGGAAGAGGCTCTAGGACACCTATCCCACAACTCTGCCTGTCAAAAACAAAGTTTTCCTCAACAGGCACTGGTTTTAAATAGTCTTTTGAATATTCTAATGGTATTACATCTACCTTTGATGTTCCATGTGTTACATTTTCTGAGAATGGTAAAGTGCTGATTATTTTTGGTTGCTGGGATTTTTGCCTTAAAACACAGAATAAGCCCTAGCCAGTTTGGCTCAGTGGATAGAGCATCAGCCTGCAGACTGAAAAGCCCCAGGTTCGATTCCAGTCAAGGGCACATGCCCGGGGTTGCTGGCTTGATCCCCAATGGGGGCCATGCAGGAGGCAGCAGATAAATGATTCTCTCTTATCATTGATGAAATCAATACAAATATTAAAAAAAAAAAGTTCATTCCAGACCCAGCAGCAACAGGGAGAAGATGAAGTTACAAGACAGTTATGTTCCAAGTCAGACTTGGAAGAGACTACTTATACCTAAGAATAAACATTTTTTCAAGTATAGAATTCTATTAAGAAAAAAGAAATATTCTACGTGGACCTGTTATGTTCAATGTCCAGTCTGTGCTAGGCAATTTACATTGGTATTAAATAAATTTGTTTTAAATCAACTCCATGAATATGGAACATTAGGAAGTGCTAGTCACATAAAGGAAAAATAAATTTCAGGAATGGTTAAGTGCCAATGCATGGAATGGTTAAATGCCAACAGTCAGCTTCAACAGTTTTATTACAGTAGGAGGAATTTTACTCTTAATGCATAGAATTTGAAGAAAAAAATTATATAAGCTTTAAAAAGAGGCCCTTTAGACAATTATTAATACAAATGTGAAATAAGACCCTTCAAACAAATACCAATTTCAGTAACAGTTTACATACAGCAATAATTTATTCTGAAATGTTCTGTTGAGACAAATTCATGTCTCATAATAAAAGAGCAGCCATCTCACCTCAAATACCAGAATATACAACAAGTTACAGCATAGCAAAAAAAAGTCTACTACTTTCAGATAAAATCTAGTTCAGGTAAAATAGTTTCATCCAATGTTTTACAATAACACAGATTTTTTTTTTTTTAAGCACAAAAAGTGTAAATTGTTACACTGTAGCTAGCTAATGCACATCATGTGACCACAGAACTGTTAATTGAACCATCAGTTTCTTTCATGCAGTAAAGCAAAGCAGGCTGGGTAAACTTGCTAATCAGGAACCATATTACTGTGAATTTCACAGCCACATGATTATGATGTTAGATGGACTCACAAGGACTAAAACAAAAGGTGGTGGTTGTTTTTTTGTTTTTTTTTGCATAAATACCAATTTCTCCCTGATGTAAGTTTAGTTAGTTTATAATCTAGAAATGATTGGTAACAGCAATATATCATATCTTCTATCTGTACTGTTCATTATTTTAAGACAAGCAATAATTAAAGGATGATGGGAGGGGATGCTACTTAAATACATGTAAAACATACTGTACAAATATACTTGGCTTTACCATTTTCTTCTTAGCTATCAAGAATGCCTCCCAAAATATGACCAGTGAAGACAAAGTATACTATCAGATATGGCTTCCAGAACAAAAACCTTCTAACAAGAATCAAACCTATTTACAAAATTTGTCAGTCTTTTAAAATTTCACTTGAAACAAATTTTCTACATAGCAATTGTAATTAACACATAATTTTCTTAGCTTAATTAGTTCAGCTCTTCTAAACAGACGTCACAAGGTAAGACCCAGAATGGCGCTTGGGACTTTGAGTTCCACTGGATTCTGTGCTGTCAGTTTTTGAATCTCGTTTCTTTGAGTTATTCACTGGCGTTGGGATCTGAGATGGCCGGGCTGAAGTGCTATCTGCACTGCTTTTCCTAGGGCTTGGGTTGTAATTAAAAGGAGTCACTCTAGCTGCTACAGCCCCACTAGGTGAACTGTGTTTGCTTGAGCTGCTAGAACCAAATGGGGTACGCTCAGCTATAGAACTTTCATTAGTCTCTGCTGCAGGGACAGGATTACTTTGTCCCGGCTTTGCCTCAGTTCCTTTTTGGTCTGGGGCATTTACCTGAATAAAGGAATTCAGGCAGTTTTCCAGACCCACGGTGCGTATGGGACCACTGCCATTACCCACATTCAGTTTTCCCTGATTTTCTTTAGAATCTTTAGCATTTGGATTTCCCTTTTCTGAAACACTGTCGATCACTGGGGGAGTATTTCCTGTGGGAGATCTTCCGGATCGAGGGTTGTTAATGGGACAGTCCTCAATTCTCACCCAAACATCCTCTGTTTTAGAAACAGCAGGTGCCATTTGATAAATCAGAGTCTTGGATTCAGCACCATTTACAGCACCTGTGGAAGCAATATGAGTACAATTTGTGGGAGAAATTTCACTTTCTTTTATTTTTCTCCATGTTCCTTTTGTAGATACTTGGTTTTCTTTAGTTTGCTTGGTTCCTGAAATACAGTTCACATATTTTTCATCCTCGCTTTTTGCTTTTTCACTGGATTCTGATGAAGCAGAAAGAATTGAAGATGAACTGCCAGTTCTTCTCCAAGTGCTTACTCGAGGAAGGGATGATGAATGTTTGCTGTGCTCACGTTTCCAGGTTCCTGACCTATTAATTGGAAGTCTGGAAGGACTTTCAGAATGGGAGCGTGCTATATCATGGCGCTTCGCAGGTCTTCCATCATTATAATCTACAGTGGGACTGAGATTAGGGGGAAGTTTTCGCCATCCACCAGACTGAACAGACGAATGAAGAGACATGTCAGGAAGGGAAGGACTTAAAACTGGAGTATGTGCCTGGGACCTTGTGGGAGAATCTGGTCTAGAAGATGGAGAAAGTGATTCAAATGAAGCAGATTCCTCCAATTTTCTCCTTAGGGTTGGGCTGGGAGCTTCTTTGATGAAAGTTGACTGGCGTACTAATACAGGTCTCTCTGACCTATCAGATTCACTTCCACTTGATTTAGTTGAAGACATTCTAGAAAGTTCTACTTTTTTATTAGATCCATTGCTGTTACTCATCTGATTCAGTCCTTTGGAGGCAGACTCACTTCTTGGGATACTACTGCCATTCTTGGATAAACCTGTTTGTTTTGTAAGGTTCTGCTGGCTCGTCTGTCTGCCTGGAGATGTGTATGACATTTTCCCAGAACCTGAGGACTTAGTGGAAGCAGTACTAGGGGATGATGTCCTTGGCAGTTGAGATAATTTGTTAGGAGGACTTATTCCATTTCTACCAGGAGAAATTGAGTTTCGCCCTGGAGACTGCATAGGTCTACTTAAGGGTTGCTGGGCAGGTCTTGAAGGAGTGGAATCTCTAGATCCTGATCTAGAAGACCCTTTATTTGATCCGGCCAGCTGGGATGTCTGCCTGGTAATAGGGCTTAATTCTGACTTCACTGATGGCTTGGTTCCTCTAGGAGAAGTGGTGGCTGTCGGACCTTCACTAGGGCTCTTGGACGCTGGAGTCTTAAAGGGTGGGCCTTTTTTAGAAACTGGACTTGTACTTGATGAGCTATTACGAACTCCTGGAATGTGAATCATTGTCCGACCTCGAGAGATTGAAGGCATATTTGCTTGAAGGGGCTGTTTCAATTGGCTTGAAATTTCTGAATTAGATCGAACCTTTCCCGTAATCAAACTCTTATACACTTTTTTCCCTCCTTTGATACCTTTATTTTCAGATTCTACCTTTTTAGTTTCCAATGTACTTTTCTCGCCAGGTTTCAGAATTCGTGGGCCTTTATTACTTGTGAAGGGTTTTTCCTCTTGATCGGGTGTAAGATGAAATGGTGACCCCAGAGAGATTCCTGATTTCAGTGAAAGAATGGAATCTGAATCAGATGAAGCTTGTCTAGATAAACATGCAGCAGCAGCAGCTTGATGTAAACTACTTACTATGGAATTTGCACCTTCCTGAATGGCTTTCCAATCAAAATTTTCCGAGTCAGGGGATAAACCATGTTCTGATTCTGGTCTCTGTATATCTTTCAAATCAAGTGTCAAATCTTCTGCTAATATGCCACCCATATTTCTGGGACTATGCTTTTCATTATCACCTTTGAGCCTTGAGGGCTTCTTCTTTTTTGGCATTGCAGAACTTATACATTCCTGCAATAGGTCATCTTCAGAGTCAATACTGAGAGAACTGAGAGAGCTGTTTCTTGAGAAACAAACTGGGGTATCTTCAACATGAAATGATTTAGGAGCATAACCCGATGCCTGAGGTTTATTTGGTTCTCCCTGGGAGGCAGGGGGCACGGTTTCTTTGATAGGTTCACTCTCTTTGTTGTTGTTGTTTTCTTGATCAATGTCACTAAGAGAACTTAGAGAGGAATTTCGAGAAAAACAAACTGGAGTATTTTCAATAGCAAAATTCTGTAATTTTTCATCAGCTGCTGCCCCCCTGTCTGGTATGTCTTTGGATGACTGAGGAAAAGTGGACTGCTTCTGCAGCATGGGTTTATTAGATTGTCCTCGATTTATTAGATGCTTTGTAACAGTTTGTGTCTTATTACCCGATTGTTGGCTTGTGGTTAGTTCTGTCTGACTGTTAACTTTAGCTTCTGATTCCTTATTGTCTTTTCCCTTCCTCAATTCAGCCTTTTCCCTGGAAAGGTCAACATCATCATCATCAAAATCTAGAGAACTCAAAGAATCATTTCGTGAAAAACAGTATGGAGTTCCTTCAATAGGTGTGTAATGATGAGGTGAATCAAAAGTAAAGCTTCCTCTGACTCGATCTTCATTGTTTGGTAGCTTATCATTGAAGTCCTTGGAATTATTTTTCAGGTTCTGTTTCTTTGAATCTTTGTTGTCTGAAAAAGTTCTTTCAGCATTTAAATTATTTTTTGAATCTGTATTTTTTTTTACATGTGCCCTATATTCAGTATTCTGTGGCATAGGTTTTACTGGTGAAGTAGGTTTATTCTTCTGACCATCTAATTGATTCTTGTTATTTCCAGATGAAGACATAGATGCTTGTTGGACCTGGTCCATTATCTTTTTCACACGGAAAGGCTTGTGACTTTTTCCTTTGGGCATGGCAGAATTAATGCATTCTGCAAGAATATCACCTTCTTCTGTTTTACTGTCATCTAGTTCAGGTATAGTCACAGATGAGGTTTTTCCTCTTTGAGCCTCATCCGTACTTCTGCCTTCTGTAGGAATGGTATCTCGTTTTTCAAATTCACCTGTTTGTGCCCCTGCTCTAACCCCTTCTACAGTAGTTAACTCATTCGGAGGGGATTCTATTGTTAGATCACTTAGAGACGTAGCTGTGGAAAAGTTTATAGGCGTCCCTTCTACGCAATATACCCGTGGCATATCATCTCCTGGTGTAAAACTAACATGCTTTTGTGCTTGCATCCTGTTTTGTGATGGTAAAAGTTTGTACACAGGCAGTTGACTTGGTTTTCTTGCAACAGGTGGAGGTAATTTTGAAGCACTCTGGGCTGGCTTTTTGGCTTTGTGTGAAGATTTTGTTGGCATGGCAGAAATAATACATTCTTCTAGTATTTCAATATCATCATCATCTGAATCATCTAATATATCTTTTTCAGAATCAGCAGGTTTTTCAGTCTCTTTTTCCGGGTTTTCATTTGAGTCTTCAGGCTGCTCAGATTCTGTTTCATTCACATTGTCATTTTCCTGAACTGGAGGCATTATTCTTAATTCTACATCTTTCTGTATAAATGGTTCATCAAGGCTCAGAGCACTCAGACTAGATGAACAAGAAAATCCATCTGGAGTACTTTCTGTGGCAAAATGTAGTAAAGTATCAGCATCTGGAAGAACCTGGACCCTCTGAACTGCAGCATTAACAGCAGCTTGCTTAGGCCCACTCTCTCTCTTTTCAGCATGAGGTACTTTATTTTTAGGTGCCTCTTGTTTAGCTTGCACTGTTTGAGGAAGAGGAGGAGGAGGAGGTGTTTTACTTCTGCTTGGTGGCATGGTTTGTCCAGGGCTATCTGGAAGGTCACTGGGGCTTATAATGCCACTTACCATTCCACTGCAGGGTTCACTCTGAACAGAACTGGCAATTGAACGACTCTCAAAACTATCTAGTGAACTGACAGACGTACATCTGCTAAACATGAGTGGAGTCTCCTGAACGTAGTGCTCTGGTGGACTTTTAGGTGTCTGGGCACCACTTTTTGATGGCGATTTGGCCCCTGAAGAAAGTTCAACAGCTTTGTGCCTAGCCGATTCTGAAGATAAACCAGAAGCCGGGAGTCTGTTGGATTTGGTTCTAATGTGCTGTGACACTGTTGGAACTTCATTCACAGAAACTTCAGTTGCTCTAGTTCCACTGTTTTCTTTTATTTCTGCTACCTGTAGTGTATTAGCAGAATCTGTTTCCTGTGTCCTCTGATCACATCCCATTTCATCTTCAGCTGATGACAAAGATGACAAAGAACTACACCTTGAAAAACATATTGGGGTATCTTCTACACAGTAAGTCTGTATTGTCTCTTGGTTGATAGAGGGAACTTTACAAGAGGAGGCTTTTTGAGTCTGACCACTTCTGCTCTGTGCTGAGCTTGGATGGAGGGGATTCTGCCTCTTGGCATTAGAGGAAGGTGTGGATATATTCTCACTGCTTGTAGAGATGTGTTCAGTTTTAGTGCTTTGTCCAGATGAACTCTTTGAGAATGAAAACGATGGTTTCTGTGAGGGAGGAATGTCTGTGGAATATTTTAAACTATAATCAATAGGCTGCTCCACATGATGTTTTTCTTCATTATATTTTATGCTATAATTTGTTGGTCTCTCTTCTTCTTCATGCTGCTCTTCCTCAGAGTAACGTTCACTATAGTTGGTTGGCTTATCATCTTCATAATCATCTTCCTGACACAAAGTCTGGTTTACATTTTGATTAATTCCATGATTAGAACCTACTCGATTTGTTTCTGAAGCACTAGCTCCTCTTGACCTATATGGAGAAACACATTCTTGCTGTCCAAAATGTGGTTGGAACTTGAGGTGTTTATCCTCAGTGCTCTCAGTATATACGGGATAAGTTGTGCTTTGACTCCTTGATTGTCTTTGTTCACCATGTTTCATTTCATCTTCTATTATATGTTTGGGTCTTGCCCATCTTTCATTTTGTGAAGGACTTTGCCTTCCAGAGTTCAACTGCTCATCTGAATACTTAAGACTATAATTTATTGGTGTATCTAGTTCTCCATCATTATCATCCATATGATTTGCACTATGTATTTTATGGGCTAGGTCAGCTGGATATTGACCATAGCTGCAACATTTACTTTCATCATCTTCAGAATAGGATTCAATTGAAGGTTTCATTTGCCCTCTTTTACCATAACCATCACTACTACTGACACTATTTAAACTATCATTTGAAGATCTCTTATATTCTAATTTGGCATAAGGTATAGGACATGTCCTATTTGAATTTTCCGACTTAGTGAAGTTGTAAGTATTTGAATGTGTGTGAGCAGTAGAACTTCTTCTTAGTGCATTTCTCTCATCTGTCCCACAATGCAATTCGGTGGTAGACCCAGAACTTCTGTCTTCCTGAGAAGTGTGAATTGCTGATACCTCTTCCATGACTTTAGCAATCTGGGCTGCAGTGGTGGAAATCTGCAAACCTCGTTTTGAAGAGGTTCCTGGATTTTCTGTTGCTGGGTGGTAGTTAGCTAGGGTAATTCCTCGTTCTCTCTCCAAACTTCTATCTTTTTCAGAACGAGAACTATCTAAACTTCCCCTTGATGAAGAGGAGCTGGGCAACACTGTTGTATTTAAATATGGTGATAGGACAGTCATGTTTCCAGTATTAAAATTGTCTGACCTATTATCATCATGTTTATTGGTGTCAAAAACATAGTCACCATAGAGACTTTGCTTGTGTCTTTGCTTACCACGATGAGATGTCTTGGGACTTAAATTGTCAATATTGTCAAAAGTTTCTGATAAGTGCTGAGCATCTAATTCTGCTTCTAGAGCTTTTTGTTTCCTGACATGAAGAGATGGCAAACTTGAACCAGGAGACATAATATTGGCATCCTTATACTTTGCAGGTCTATTTGCCATGAGATTCCTTAAAGCTGCAGCACTTCCCATAGCAATCATTTTGTGCTTTGAATGAATGAGGTTCTTGAGCATGCTGACTGCCCCCATGTCCCATAATGCCTCCTGGTCTTTAGGATTTCTTGCTGAGAGATTCCACAAGGTTCCACATGCATTACTGACTATTGTCAAACTGTGAGATTTTAAGTGTTGTAATAAGGTTTGCAGGCAGTTGTTCTCTCTTAGGATTTGCCTGAAATAAATACCACAAAATTAAGGTCAGAATCTATTTGTAGTAACAACGAATAAAAGAATAAAAAACAAATTTAAATCTAAATATAATTACTAAAACAGACAAAATAAAATTGTACCAATTTATACTATAAATTCCAAGCATTCCACATCTCCTTTTGTTATGTGTTAGTTCATTTAAGGTTTATTACTTTAAAGTACTTCTTTGTCAGACTAAAAGAAGTACAATGTTCATTTAAAAAAAAAAATTCATTTTTATTGATTCCAGAGAAGATGGGAGAGGGAGAGAGATAGAAACATCCATGATAAGAGAGAACCATGGGTCGGCTGCCTCCTGCACCCTACTGGGGATCGAGCCTGCAACCCGGGTTGTGCCCTGACCAGGAATGGAACCTGTGACCTCCTGGTTCATAGGTTGATGCTCAACCACTGAGCCATGCTTGCTGGGCAGTACAATGTTCATTTTAATCTATCTTGCATAGCTTATATGACCTGATAACTCATTAAATTTTTTCTTGAACAGGTACATTTACCTATTTACATAGTGACAGATTTTCCCAATTTAAGGACAAGTCTATCTTGCTGAAAGGGACTTTGTGGTAAATTAATCAATCAATAGATCTTTATATATTCAAGGAGCATGCATGCTATAAGCACCCTGATTAGGAAACTGACTTTTAGAGCAACTGTTATGTCTCTGGCTAGATTCTGTGATACTGCCACCCCCCTTACAAGTGCTTTATGGAAACATTATTTCTAAAATTAAAAGAAAGGTTTTCAAAACATTTAAAGATTAACTCTAAATATAAGGGTTGAGAATCAACTTTGGGATCTGAGAATCAACTTTGGTTCATTTCTAGACATCTTTATGATACTATAAACTTATATTACTAATGAGTAAATTAGAAATTAAAAGTTACTTTTTCACCATAATTCTATAAGGGTACTTAATGCAGTGTAAGCTGAAGTTAATGACAAAATATTTAGCTTTAATGGACTTTAAAAGTGATTGGCAAGGGTGTACAACAAAGTTTTAAAATGTTCTTCTTTCAGCAGTGCTTACTGAATTTAAAGACTTCTTTGCATAGCAGAAAGGGCTATAAGGGTTGTAATTTACACATCAAAAAATTAAAGAAAAGACGTGTATATTCATATGGTCCTTTTACTAAAAGTACTACACGATCTGTTTAAAAATGAGAGAAGAACCATGTTGAATAAAATGAATATGCTGTGAAAAATATTTTTGTTGGCATAATACAGAACCCATGTTCTGAAAATGTGTGCTCTGTATCTGAGGTGCACTCTTAGGTATCACAGGTCTAGTAGTCTGGATGAGTGGCTGTTGGCTAAATAATATGGTTTTGATGTTAAGACACCAATTAAAAAAACGTAAATAAATGTATTATCTGGATCATATCTATAGGTTTTGTTTTTTGTGATTTTAACCTTTTCCTCTATATATGCATATACCTCTTAGCTATCATTTGTTCATTTCTAGATATCTTTGTGATACTATAAACTTGTATTACTAATGAGTAAATTAGAAATTAAAAGTTACTTTTTCCCCACAATAAATATAATTTAGCTTAGAACTTGCATAAACACACAAATGGGTCTTTTTGAGGGATTGAATGCTACACCAATTTAATTGTACACTAATTAAAAGTAATATGAAACTCTGTATTTACCTGTGATCCTCATTTGTTGCTATCAAGCTGGACACATTCCGTAATATCCCACCTCCACTTTCAATAATGGCTAAAGTATTTGTCTGGCTCCGGTAAGTGAGAGTGCCAACCAAAAATGCAAGTGCACCATCTACAGCACATATATCAGCTTTATTCTCAGTGCAATGTGCTGACAAATTCCATAAGGCACTCAATACACTTTTGAGGGTTGATTCCTAGTAAGAAACAAATTATGTGTCATCTAAGTAGAATTGGAATTTGTCCCTCATAACTTCTATGTTTACTTCTTTTGAGTAAATATTTTTTTTTCTTCTTTGCTACTCACCCCTCACTAGTAAATTATTAGGAATTTTCCATTTAGAAAAACTTGCATAAAATAATGAGTGGAAGGAACTTAAGTCACTGGTATCCCATTAATAAAAACAGAACACAGCATTAAACTAATAACCTTCCTGAAATTTATTCTAACTGTTTGGACAGTACACACATATCTTAAAAGAGCTTATAATAGCAACAAAATTGATGTGCATGCTGAAAAGATAACATTTATCAGGATAAGAGAAACTACAGAAATTACAAAAAATCTTCTATATATTGATATAGAAAGATATCTAAGAAGTATTATTAAATGAAAAAAAAAAAGCAAGTTGAAGTGCAGTATATACAACATTCTGGTTGGATTAAACACATATACACATATATAAATATGTAGTTGATTCAAAAATAACAATACAAATTATTAAAAAGAAAGCACACTGGGAAAACTCCAATCCTTAAAATTCCCAAAGAAACAAAGTAATTACAAAACAGAAACTCCCTGGAATACAATATCATAGAAAACTCTCAAACTATAATTGCCACAGAAACACTCTGTATATATAATTAAGGACATTTGGTTAAAACCTGCCATGACCCTGATGCTAGTCTTTCTCTTATTACAAATAAATCAAGGAATAAATATGCCTTAGAAATCTATTGCATTACCACAGTTAGAGGTATTCTAGAAGATACAAACATAGCAAACTGATACCTGCCTGAAGGTGCTAACAACTTAGTTTGGGGGGAAAAAGATGCAAACCTACTTCCATGAAACGAAGTGCTCTAAAGGAAAGATAGTTGCCACCTAAATGTAATCAAATAAAAAACTTCATGCAGGAGAGCAACTTAGAAGACCTATACACTCAGGGACAATTTCTTCTGACAGAGAAAATAGAATGAGGAAAGGCTTGGAAATGGGAATCTGCAAGAAAGAACTGAAGAACAGAAAAAAGACAGAGAGGAGATCAAAGTCCATTCTGGGGAATAGTGGGAATTAAGGTTAGAGAGGTCAATGAAGGTCTTGAATGTCACAGCAAACGTTTTTGGCCCAATCTAAGAAATTGCCACTGTATTATTTTTATCGGAACAGTTTTATTTTTATTTTTTAAAAATATTTTTATTGGCCGAAAGTGGTAGAGTGTTGGTCTGCGGACTGAAAGGTCCCAGGTTCGATTTCAGTCAAGGGCATGTACATGCAGGCACATCCTCGGTAGGGGATGTTCAAGAGGCAGCTGGTCGATGTTTCTCTCTCATCGACGTTTCTAGCTATCTCTCTCCCTTCCTCTGTAAAAAATCAATAAAATATATTAAAAAATATTTTTATTGATTTCAGAAAGGAAGGAAGAGGAAGAGATAGAAACATCAATGATGAAAGAGAATCACTGATCAGCTGCCTCTTGCTTGTCCCACAATGGGGATCAAGCCCGCAAATGGGGCATATACCCTGACTGTGAATCGAACCGTGACCTCCTGGTTCATAGGTCGATGCTCAACTACTGCACCACATCAGCCAGGCAAGGAATAGTTTTAGATTCTTCTTATGAGAAGGCAGGCAGGGAAGAAATGCTTTCACCAATCAAGATGTGAGATAAGAACTCAATTTTCTAACTGACATAAAGGGGGAACATTCAAAGTATCCTGAGAACAGAAAAAAACACACACACACACACAAAAAACAGCAAGCATTTAGAGCGAGCTTTTAAACTTCAACTGGCCCAGGGGGATAATTGAAGATAGGAAACTAGAAGTTGCTCTCTATCAAACTACTTGTAGAGGGATGAGGATTTTGTTTCAAAGAAGCTTTACAATTAGAATTAGAGGAAATAAGAACAAATGGTTAGAGGCTAAATTACAGGTGGCAAAAACAAAGGGAGGGAATTAAAAAAAAAGTGTAATGAAGTATTAAATATAGGTATAGGTAGGAAAAACCCAAGTTAATGCATAAATCTAGATTTTGTTAGAAGAAGAATTAGGAGGGACTAAAGAAGGTATACCAGTAAGAAATGGAGCAAGTGACTTCAGGGTCTTGGCTGTTACAGGAAAAATGGAAACTGCAGGAATTAGAATAATTTTTGAGAAAAAAATATATAGGGTTTTCTATAGATAGATGAAACATAAAAGGCTTTCTTCTCTAACCAATCAAGAAGATATAAAAGATGAGTAAGAGACTTAACATTTTTGAGTGAACAGTAACACTTGGGGCACAGATTGCAAGTGAAGGAAAGATTCTATTGTGTAGAAGAGTAAGAGCCAGCTAAATGGAGTTAAAATGATGCAATATAAGGGAAATATGAAAGGTAATTCTGATTATTTTGGTCATTAGTAAATGAAAATGAGGAAAAGATGATGACCTGAGAAATGTTCATATTGACTGAATGTAGAAAAGAGGGAACAAATAAATTATAATGCTACCAACCAGAAGCAGGCTCAAACCAGAATTGGGTATTATAAACTTCTGATAGGCCAGTTTTTCCAAGATTGGACTTGAATTTAAAATTTATATATGAATTTAGGGAGAAATGATCTTTAAAGTACTACTCTTCCTTTGTAAGAACAGAGTTTGCCTTTCCACTAATTATGGTCTTCTTTTATGCTCCCCAGAAGGATGTGTTTTTAAATCGAGCTTGCTTGATTTACTGCAGTCAGTTTGTATGTAGATTTCTAAGGTCCTTGAGAGATAATAAAGTCATAAAGTATTTAGCAGCAACACAAGTTCTCATAATACAGATAAATCATTAAATCTTTCTGAAAACATGCAGGGTTGGTAAATTAGGAATCTTAAAATGTGTATAGTACTATTTTTTGTTTAACTTTATTGAAGTACTAGAGGCCTGGTATACAAAATTTGTGCATGAAGAGGAGGTCCCCTCAGCCCAGCCTGCACCCTCTCCAATCAGGGACACCTTGGGGGATGTCTGACTGCCGGTTTAGGTTAGACCTGGGGATCAGGTCTAAACTGGCAGTTGGACATCCCTCTCACAATCCTAGACCACTTGCTCCTAATTGCTCACCTGCCTGCCTGCCTGCCTGCCTGGACGCCTCTAACTGCCCCTCCCTGCCAGCCTGATCACCCTTCACTGCCTCTGTGTGCTGGCCTGACTACCCCTAACTGCCCCCCGCTGCTAGCCAGGTTGCCCCCAACTGCCCCCTTCCTGCCGACCTGGTCACTCCTAACTAAAGCCCATCTCCCCCGCTGGCCTGGTTGTCCCTAACTGCCCCCCTGCTGGCCTGGTTGACTCTTACTGCCCCCCCTACCCCTGCTGGTCTGGTCACCCCTAACTGCCCCCCTTCCGGTCTGGTTGACTCTTTCTACCCCCCCACTGGCCTGGTCACCCCTAACTGTACCTCTGCTGGCCTGGTCACCCCCAACTGGACCCCCTGTTGGCTTGGTCGCCCCCAACTGCGCCCTGCTCCCTGCTGGCCTGGCTGCCCCAGGTAGCCTGCTGTTCAGTTGTTTGGACGTCTCTCACTAACCCCCCTGCCGGCCTGGTTGCCCCACACAATCTGCTGCTCAGTCTTTTGATTGTCCCTCACTAACCCCCCCTACTGACCTGGTCGCCCAAGCAGCCTGCTTGTTCAGTTGTTTGGTCATCCCTTACTAACCCCCTGTTGTCCTGGCTGTAGACAGCCATCTCGCAAGGGTCAATTTGCATATCACATCTTTATTATATAGGATAACTGAAGAATGATAAACTGCATACATTTCAAGTGTGCAACTTGATCATTTTTGATGTATCTATCACTCCAATCAAGATAATAAACATTCACTTTAATTCCTAGTAATTCCTTATAATTCACCCCAACCTCAGGCAACTACTGGTCTGTTTCTGTCATTATAGATTACTGCATGTTTCAGTTTATTCTTTTTATAGCCGAATAGTATTCCATTTTTGATATTTCACAGCTTGTTGATCAATGCACCTGTTAATAGACATCAGATTTAGTTCTAGTTTTTGGTTACTACAAATAATATTGCTGAACATCTGTGTATAAACTTTTGTGTGAATGTAAATTTTTGTAAATATTTAAAGAGTAAAAAGTGTGTTGTAAGGTAGATATATGTTTAAAAGTAAATAGTGTGTTGTAAGGTAGGTATATGTTTAACCTTTAAATACACTGACAAGTGTTCTCCATAGAGTGGTTATATCATTTTATATTCCCATCAGCACTGCATGAGAATTCCAGCTGTTCAACATCCTTGACAACATTGGTCTTTAAATCTTTAAATTTTAACCAATATACTATGTGTAATGGTATCTCCCTGCAGTTTTAATTTACAATCTCCCCAATGATTAATGATGTTGAGTATCTTTTCAAGTGCTTAATGGTCAAAGATCTTCTTTTCTGCAGCATTAGTACCAGTATTTTTTTTAATTAAAAATGTATTTTATTGATTTTTTACAGAGAGGGAGAGAGAGTTAGAAGCATCGATGAGAGAGAATCATTGATCAGCTGCCTCCTGCACACCCCACACTGCGGATGTGCCCGCAACCAATATGCCCTTGACCGGAACTGAACCTGGGACCTTTCAGTCTGCAGGCCAACACTTTATCCACTGAGCCAAACCAGTTTCGGCAGTTCCAGTGTTCTGCCAACTCAGCAGTGTTTTCTATTAATTTTTTAGTTGGTTTTCCAAGTATAAAATAACTTAGCAAAAATATATAAACAAGCAAACAATAAAAAACAAAACTTTTTGCCTTTTCTTAAAAGAAAATTTTAAAGAAAGAAAATGTAGGCTGTGATTCTAGGAGGACTGGTTGGGTGAAAAGAAACCTGGATTAGCTAAGAAAACTTGCTTAGTCCTTCTCAAATTTCAAGTTTAATAATAATAATAATAATAATAATAAAAAAAGTTTAGTTTCTGAAATAGATATCGCACCTGGACATATTTCCTTTTACAAACAAATTAATATTTGAGGATATCTCACTCTTGAATGAGTCTGATCACTTATTGCTAAGCTGACCATGAAAATTTGAAAACTTTGAGGGACTGAGATTTTTTATTTTGTTAACCCTCACCCGAGGATATTTTCCCATTGATTTTGAGAGAGAGTGGAAGGGAGAGGGAGAGACAGAGAAACACTGATGTGAGAGAGACACATTGACTGGTTGCCTCCTGCATGTATTCCTACCAGAGCCAGGGAACACATGACCCTGACCGGAATCGAACTTGACCCTTCAGTCCTTGGGCTGACACTATCCACGGAGCCAAACCAGCTTGGGTGGGGGATTGAGATTTTAAGAGAACAAAGACAACACATATACCAGTGATTCTCACTTAGGGGCAATTCTGTCCTTCCTCCCTTCTGGGGGACATTTGGTAATATCTGAAGACATTTTTGACTGTCTAGACTGAGGCGAGGGTGTACTGACATCTATTGAGCAAAGGCTAGGAATATTGCTAAACATCCTAACAAAGCACAGTTCAGTTCCCCCAAATAATTATCTGGGCCAACATGTCAATAGTGGTGAGTCTGAGAAAGTCTAACTTACAGTAGGCTACAGTAAAACCTTTTCCATCTTAATACCTCAGGAGCTTGGAGTATTCTAGATTAAGGACTGGTGAGATAAACAGGTCAAGAATTAGGGAATCTCAGTGTGGGAGAGGGTGACAAAAAATACCTAAGGATGAAATCCGTATTACAATACTAAATGTTTTCAAAGTACCTTTTTAACTTCCAAAGCACATTCCATCAATGCTTTCACGCTTCCAACTTCACGCAATGTCTTTTTACTATTTACATCTGCTCTCCAAGACAAATTCCTCAAAACACTTGCAATAACCTGCAAAATGAATCGAGTTTAGAATACTTGTAGTAAAATGATTTATACTGTCTGCATTTTTTATTTTTAATGCTAGAAAAGTAGAAATCCATTAAGAAATTCATCATAAATGCTAATATGGTGTCAAAAGGAATTCCTATACTTATTTTCCTTTATTCTGATGTTAATATAAATGTAATTTAAACATGAGATACTAAAAACTGAGCCACAGCTTAAATTAATCTAAGATATTCACCAGCTGATATCCTAGAAAAACACTTCAAGTTCTAGGTAGTACCTGCTGTAAGTCCTCACTTTCAGATTTTAGTTGGGCCACTAGTGCTCTCATGCAGCCCTTCATAGAGCATAGGGTAGCCTGCAAAAATCAGATATGGAACAGAGTCAGTAACAAGGCAATCTGAAGGTGTGCTTCATTTTTTACTACTAAATTTCAAATACAGTTGTAAGAGTTCTACTTTAATTATAGCTAATATTTTATCCATAAAAGATTTAGAATCAGATTACATAAATGAAAGACAAATACTCTCCTAATCCTTTGTTATCTGTTCTTCTCTTGGCAAATTAGAAAAATAAAGTGAATAAATGATAAAAAATGAGAAGCAAAGGGTTTTTAAAGTCCTCTCATTTGGATACAACCAGTATGTGTGTAACACACTGGTCATGAGGATTTTCAGATTTTTTGTGATTAAATAAATCCACTATTGAGTTCTATCTTTTACTCTTGTTTAATCATAACACAACCAAATGAATAAGGATGTACAGTGGGATGTGAAGTACAGGTTTTTATTAGTCAGTGTTTAATGAGGAGAGTGATAAAAAGAAAACCACTGAAAAGTAGTTTTGTTTGAAGTAAACTAACTCATCATACCTGAGATAATTAAGAAATGGATCTTCTAAAACATACCTTGTTGGCTACATCTCCAAAAGTCAAGTTTGTCAAAGCCATTCCAGCATATCGTCTTAATGTAATACTGTAGTGGTCATTAGTAAGCCCATACATTTCACAGTCCACTTGCAATAATTCTGCAATGGCCTGTAGTCCCCCTAATTTAAAAGGGCAAGAGGAAAAAAAGAATAATCTAAAATAAAGCAAACTGGTACCAAGTTTATAACTTAAATATTAGGAAAAAAATCTCAAGAATGAGAATACATGGTTTAAATTTGTCTTTAGAATTACAAGCTACAAAAAATGTTATAGGACTTTTGTGTAATACATTTATAAAGTACAACTGACAACTATTCAATTTTTTGCCAGTTTCTCCACCCTCCAGCTCTTGCCTTACTAAGTGAAATGAGCATTGTACTCTTATTTACCACACATACCCTATATCTTGTCAAAGATGGAAAAGGATATTTTTTAACACTAGGTCTTCCTGAATGGAAACAGGTAACTTGTTTTTATTACTAGGACTTTACACTCTTCATTGTTGCATACACTTGCTTAATTACTTTAATACTTTTTACTTGCTGAATAATTAATCCTTAGGAATACTGAAAGTTATCAATGAAACTGTGCATGAAGCAAAGCTTATTTTTTAAATGAAAAATAATTATTTGTTCAATTTGATACTAAGTTCTATAAAACTACTTTTTTATGTTTTTTAAACAGTTTACTTTTCTTTGATACTCACAGTGTCAAATACCAACTATACTAGAATTTAGTTATTTTCTTTCCCCTTGATTCCCACCACTGGGTATGCTCAACAATGCCCACAGTGGTCAACAAATAGGAGGGCAAGGAGAAAAATGATGAGAAAGCAAAGGGAAAGACATAAAGGCAAGGGTAGTAAAAACAAAACAAACAAAAGGCAAAGCAAAATGGTGAGGGGGTGAACAAAAATAAAAATGTATGGCGGCTATTCAAATATTATTCATCAACAATATTAATCATTGTGGAAATGAGAATATTGTTTTGTCACAGAGAAGTGGGTTAAACAAAAAGAAAGGCTGAATATAAACAGACAATTCTTAGATACTGTAAGTCTAAAATGTCAGTTCATTAATCTGAGAGCACCTGTACATTTAATATTTTGCAAATAACCCGGAAGAGTCAGTATGTAGAGGAATCTGCAAGTTTGCAAAACAGGCAAAGTTGTATCTTGATTCAAGAATTCCAGGCCAGGAGATTTAAATATAGGAAGATTCACACAAATTTTTATAATTAGCAGAAGTAACAGGTAAGTTTGAATATAAATAAATGAAAATGAATTAGGTTAAGGAAAATCCAAATCATATTTAGGAAGATTTTCCTCCAACTACCCATACTAATGGAAAAGTATATATAAGAGTGAACAAAATAGTCACTGTCTATATGGAGCTTATAGATTACAGCAAAGACAGACACTGAACAACTAATTAAGATGTGCTGGACTAAGGGCAAAAGAACAGCTGGACTTAACTTAGACTGAGGAGATTAAGAAAAGGGCTGAGGAAATAATGTTTAAGTTGAGACTTAAATGATGGAGTATCTAAAAAAGTGGAGTAGGAATAACAAAGCATTTTAGACAGATGAAATAGCATGTGCAAGGGTCCCTGGGCCTGAAATATACAGCATCAAGGTTACATGAGGCTACAAATGGGTAGAGGCCAGAACATGTGAGACTTTATGTATCACACTAAAAACTTCAGGTAAGGGAAGAAAAAATTATATATGTGCTCTACAGAGTAGTGGCTAAAGGGTGCAGAACAGATTATGACTGAAAGTTGGGAGAGAAGACAAAGTACTGCAGAATATAAGAGATGATGGTGGTTTGAACTGGGGATGAAAAGAAGAGCAATAATTTGAGGTATTTAAGCAGCAAAATTACAGACTCAGTTACTAGCTGAGAAAAACAGAATCATGGATATCTTTCAAGATTCTGGCTTGAGCAACTGGGTTGATTGGAATGCCATTTTCTGAGAAAAGAAACCCTGGAAGAGAGAGAGATCTGGGGATGGAGGAAATAAAAATTTCAGTTGTGGCAGTTGAGTAAGAAATGTCTGTAAAACCTTCCAAGTAAAGATATCAGATGACCAATTTGATAATTTATTTAAAACTCAGGAGAAAGAACTTGGATTAAGATGTAAATTTAAAAACATTGTAATTGAAGTGTAAGACACTGTCTAGAGAGAGAGGAGATAGGAAGAGAGCCTTGGAGAGCGCTCTGAGGAATTCCACATGTGATGCTTGGAAAAAGGAGAGGAGCCAAGAAAAGAACTGCAAGTTCTGGCCCAGGAAATTGACCTTGGGCGGGGGCCAGGGGTGGGGGTGTCACTGTTGACCTGAAGACAGTGGCCCTGTGTACTGATGAAATCACCAAAATGTTGAGCATTATAAAGCAGATTCTCAATACCAAAACAAAACACAGTGTGCTTTGTGCCTATATTAAATCCTGCCCAGTATAGCGATATTTGTGCTAAAGATTCCAAGAAGGCACTAAATGAGCAAAGAGCGGAGTACTCTTGTATGGAAAAATTACAAAATCTTAGGATTTGATTCTGAATAAAATAAAAATAAGGAAGGATATGGCCAATGTGAACAAAACCATGAAGAATATGGCTAATGAGAAAAGAACATTCATTAGAATTTAGGATATCAGATAAAAGAGAGAGCCCTTTATGTTTCAGGCAAGTAAAAATACGAAAATTCATGATTGTTAGAAAAAAAAAAAAAAAAGGTTTCCTTGAGAAAAAAATGCTAAGATAATGAGCATGTCCTTCCATATTTTTCTTAGTGCCTATGTTAGAAAATAGGGCCAATATGAACCAAATAGAACCCAATGTGGTATCTCTTAACATTAAAGGTAATAGAGGACCAACAGCTTCTAGTGACATTCAACAGAATCTTTAATCCAAAAAAGGATAATGGAAGGATGATACAATTTTTAAAGAGAGAGAAAGAGAGAAACTGTGTGTGTGTGTGTGTGTGTATGTGTGTAAATTCGGTTTAGACAGTCACCATTAGCATGAAATGCCTCATTCTAGAATAAGTATTAGGAGCCAAGCATCAATGTTCTATAGATTGGTGTTTCATAAAATTTCTTGATCAGAAGAATTACCTAAGTCACTTATTAAATATGATTCCTAGGTTCCCCTTGGAGATTGTTTTACTAAGCTAGGTTGCTACAGGGCCATAGTACCTACATGGCTTGACAAGTAACTAGTGGTCATTATTATCTGGTTTTGGAAACATTAATGCAAATAAACCATTACTTGAAAGTCAGGACTACGTCTTAATCTTTATTTTTACTACCTAACAAAGTTTCTGGGTCAGAGCTAAGAATTAATAAATTAGTAAATATATCACTACTGTTAAGAGTCTAAAACTTGCAGTCTTAATAGGTGCAAACTTCTATGACCCTGATAGCTGCATAATCTTTTTGTATGGAAAATGACAGTCCCAGATGATTGGGTTTAGGAATTTCCCTTCACTTATTGGGGACTTTCCCCCCCTCCTTATCCCTCATAGTCAGATACTTGATGCTTTCTTACTCTATTTCTCCACAATCCACAAACCTTGATCCTACTTTTGTTCCAGTGCAAATTCAGAGGCTAGGAATGAGAAGGCAATCCTTTGTGCTATGTCCCAGCAGTCACACCCCCAGATGCCCCATCCTGCTCCTCACCTGAAAGCCCCTGCCCTAGCTCCTGTGATGAAATGCCCCGGGTAGCCTTCCTACCTGAAGAAGGAAGAGGAACAAATACTGAGTCTACGATTTACTTTGAAATTCAGATGATTAATGTGTCAGTCCCAATCTACAGTCCATTGGAACACAGGGACATTTATAGAAAAATCTTGGCATTAGCTTAAGCTTGGATTAATTTTTCTGTTTATTATTTTTATCCCTTTTCCATTATTACTATTATTAAAAAAAAACACACACATTCAAACATAAAACTTTCACAAATGTCAAGACTGTACTGAGGTGGGAGAACTCCTAAAATTATACTCAGTTCCACAGGAGGCTGAGGGAGGTGGTGGGGGAAGGAGAGATTCAGGTGGGCCAACTGCTAGGGCCTGTGGGAAGAAAAGCATGACTGGAGAACAGGCCCGAAATCAGAAGTACATAGCCTTCAGAAGTAATGACTCTGAAGGAGACAACACTCATTTTGGCTGTTCAGATTCTCTGTTTAAGCCTCATGACTTTGTCACTTTTAAGATAAATGATGAATGATAATGATGAGGGTGACAAGGAAAACAAAGTGGGGGCTGGAATGCAATGTAACATAAACAGCACAAAAAGCCAGGGCACAGCTACACTAAGATGGGAACCCAGTATACGGTCTTGCTTGTGGCACCACTAGAGAGATCCAGTTCACATGAGATGGCTCAGCAAGATGTAATTTATAAATATCACCTGTGCAAAATGAACCTAGAAATCAAAGAAAAACCGTTACATGAAAAAATGGGGTGCACAAATGCAGGTGTGATTAGTGTGTGTGATAACACATACCTAAAAACGTGTAATCCTTCCAAAATTAATAGAATGTTTCTGATTTAAATTAAAGCATAATGCTTTTCCATAATAACCAGTTTCAAAGATACCATGCTGCTTATCGTGAAAATCCAGTCAAGGACTGATAACTACTAAGGTAGATGAGTATCTTCTGGTGTCCATCAGAAGTGACTCAGTTCAGGAACAATGAAGGAACTCCACATTTCAAAATAATTCAAATGACCCTCCCTACCAGCTGTCACATAGAGTCTACCTTGGTAATAGGGGCAAGAAGTGGCCTATTTAGTAATTTTTGCAATCTATAACTGAGATTTTGAAAATCCTAGTTTGGGTTAGCAGCTTCTATTATTTAGAACCTTTTCTCCTCTGGAAATCAGACTATCATTTGCTACAAGGAGGGAGCAGCTGGTAATATGTTATGGCCTTATATTCAATTTCAACAATGATGAAATCTTTATTTTTCTATGGCATTAAGAAACATTTCTGTCTTACCAAGTTCATTCATTGCATGTCTATGTTCTTCATCAAACGAAAGTTTCATTAGAACACACACAGCAGGACAGATCTGATGTTCAACAGGAGCTGGCACTAAAAAATAAAATTGACATAAACCATAATGCTTTGTTTTCTCAAAAGAAATGATGCTTATTATACTTGAAAATTACACAGGGCTCACTAACATACCCCTAATGCATAGTTTAATGGTTCAACAAACATTTGTTGAGTAGAAAATAAATATTATAAACATGGAAAAGAAAATATGAGTAAAAGGCTTTTCTTGGTTCCATAAAAATGTTTACTATTCAACTGCCCTTGACCAAGTCTGTTAGAAAAATGTTTACTATTCAACTGCTCTTGCAGGTTTTTGCTATAACTAAATTAATTTAAAATTATGTTTATTATATGAAAAAATAAAAACATTTTGGTATAAAACTTTAATTTTATTTGTAATTTCTAAGTAAACTATTGCCATGAGTGTGGGTTAGAAGCACACCATTGTGTACAAATGTAGTAAAGAAATCTAGTATAACTCTAGTAGAGAAAGTTTACTTACTATATTGACAGATACTAGATAATAAAAATTTAAAGAAAAGGCATCCAAGAAAATTTAATATTATACACAACATTTAATATTATACACAAGATTTCAAAACTTGTTACCTAAAATAAAATTTAAAAGCAAGTCTATTTTCAGAAGCAATAATAATTCATTCTATTTAAATTTTTTTGAGGTTCTCAAGAGTCAAAATGCTAGTCATTAACTGTGAGCAAAGAAAATTTAGAAAGTCAATGTTCTCCCAGTAAAGTATCTTATTAGTTCTCATGCCTAGGACAAATAGTTATAAAGGACTATTTCTTCTGTCTGTTTTTTATTCTTGAAATTTTTAATATTTTAAATAAATTTACCTAAACTAAAAATAAAATTTGCTAAAGCTTCACAGGTCACATTTTACCATCACTCCCTGGATCCTGCTTCTCAAATCAATAGGTTAATACAACAGTCCTTTGTGGTGTGCATGTGTGTGTATTTTCTTATCAGGTGAAAGGAAAATCTTACCTAATATACTTACTAATTTTGGTTCTTTCTATAGGAATGAGTTATATGCCCAAGGGTTCCAGCTCCCATGTTCCCTGTGTCTGAGGGACAGGGGCTGGTGGCCAGGGGTCTCTCATGAGCAAAGAGCTGGGTGGCTGATTACCCCCAGCAATAGGGACCCATTGCCTGGAGCAGAATGGTACAGTAGGAAGCACACTGAGTTGAGAATCAGGAAATCTGGCTCCGCTTACTAACTGTGAGGCCAGAGGCAAATCTTTTAGCTTTTCTGAGTCTCAGTTTCTTCATCTATAAAATGGAGATAATACCTTCGCTTCCTACTTCACAAGGTTATTGTGAGGATCAAATAACAACAGATATAACAGCTCTGTTTCTACTGAGTATAGAGTAAAATGCAAATGTACAAGATAATGGCTTGGTCACTAATTGCTGAAAAAACTTATGTAAAGTTTCTTTTCTGAACATCTATAAAATAAAAAAGATGTGCAATATAATTGCTCAGATTCTTTCTCGATCTATTATGCTATGATTCTGTATGTCTTTCTTGATTTTCTGTTCGTTTTCTTTGCTGCATAACATTTTCCTTTGCTACATTTTTCTTAATTTTAGACTTAAAACAGACTTAAGCTTTAAACTATGTTAGTAGTGTAGATGGTTAATATGCATTTCACCTTCCTATTCATAAAGACAGCATACAAACTAAAAAAGTTTTCATTTTAAAAACGTTTTCATTTGTTTTGTAACATGCACTGTGATGTATACTATAAGGTACATACTTGGATTTTTGTCCTGGTCCATGCCTTGTTCGTGGGCTTCCTGCCACTCCCAACAGGTTTCACAGTAAGCGCGTATCTGTTCCAAAAGATGAAGGACTCGGATTTCACGCCTGCCTCTCTTGTCATCAGGCTGTGAGTGAATGATGTTGTGGAGTGCTGCACTGGCCCTGGCCCGAGCCTCTTTACTGCCCCGGGAATTTCCCAACAACACAGAGTCTTTGTCATTGCCATGTAAAAGCTGGATGAGGAGAGGAAGACATCCAGACTGTCGCATGGATATACAGCTGTCTTGGGAGCTAGACATAGCTAGCAAAGTTCGTGACATATCATCCTTATCATGAGTACCAAGCATTGACAACAATGAATACACCATTTCCACCTGTGGGCCAAATGAGTTTAGAAACAAAATTATGACTATAATATCCAAAGCTAACACCAATGAAGTGATGAGTGGGATATTTATTGTAATTCATTATAAAAAACAAACAAAAAAAACCTCTTTCCATGATGAAGTAATGAATGTTATTTCAAAATTTATATAATCATCACCAATTTGTTTATATGAGTAAATAATAGTAGTGGTAGTATACAGTGCTGAAAGAGAAAGTAAGTTCTTACATACTTAAATTGTGTTTATTTGGATCAGCTCAATCATTATAATGATTGAAAATCAAGTAATTTCACAGAGTGAGGATGATGGTCTATCTAAAATTTTTGGAGTATTAAAAATGTTGTTTTACTTCTTTTAATCTAAAACTATAATTAATAAATATAAATGTTTTCAACAATCATTATTTACTAAGTACTAGTTTTCAGCAATCACTAACTTTTATAGGATTATAATAGTATTGTTAAAATATATAATAGTACTGTTAAAATTATAAAATTTCTCCCTTACACATATAAAAAATACTTTGTCATAAAAAGAAGGATGCTATGATCACATAAAGAGTACGAAGCAAGGATTCTCATACAATTTTTAAAAAAAGCAATTGCTAAGCATCATCTCTAAGTAAGTCTAAAGATTTACTTAGAAGCAAATTAGAAAAAGGAAACAGTATCCTGTTACCTTTTTTAAAAAATCCTCACCCAAGGATATGTTTTTCATTGATTTTAGAAAGAAGGGAAAGAGAAAGAAACATTGATTGGTTGCCTACTGTACAACCTCCTCCCCCCTCCCCCAGGAATGGAACTTGCATCTTGGGTATGTGCACTGACTGGGAATTGAATCTGTCTCCTTTTGATGTAAGGGCAATGCTCCAACCAATTGAGCTACACTGGCCAATTATCTTGGACTATGATCAGCTTCATTTTAAAGGTTGAGAAAAGTAGAAGGTATTATACACAGAATGTATCATGTCTATAAATCAGTGGTTCTTAACTTTTGGCAATGCCTTGGAGAAATTTTTGGTTGTCACATCTACAGGAGGAAGTGCTATGATTGTCTAGTGGAAACAGACCAGAAATGCTGCTAAGCAGGCTACAATGCAACAAAGAATTATCCAGTCAATAGTGCTCAGGGTAGGAAACTCTACTCTAAATGTGTAAACACAGACTACTCTTAAATATGGAAGTTTTAGGAAGGCAGTATATAATTATGGATAAATGGGCTTCCAAATTCTGGCTCCACTACTTATGAGTAAGCTGTGTGACACTAACAAGTTATCTGATTTCTCTGAGCCCATTTTTTTTTCAGTTGCAAAATGAAGGAATTAACCTAGTAGATTAAATGAATTAATACATATATAGGATAGTAGCTGGCATTCAAAAATGTAGGAAGCTCTTGTATTATGCATAAATTACTTCAAAAGAAAAAGATATTATAGCTGTCAATTTTCATGCGACAGTAATGTTGAATATTAGAGATTTTCTTTATAGTAAAAATTATGTATTGATGTTGGATAGATCTGGGGTTGAATTCCAATTTAATTATACAATAGCTGCCTGAATTACTTTTGTATGTTTCCTCATTTAACAGAAAGAAACAAGAATATCTCACAGGGTTTGAGAAAATTAGAGATAACATACATATAACTCCTACCACAGTTATTAGCATTCCAAAGGTCCCAAGTAGTAGCTATTTTGAGTTATTAAAAGAATTAGGTCTTATATTAACAATATAACCACTACAAAATTCATTTCTTAAATCAATATTAGTTATTTCAGTAATGCTTTTCCTAAGAACCATTGTATTATTAAAATGAGTGTATAGAATATGCTATGAAAACAATTAATGAAATTTAGATTTAATGAAAATATATTGTTTAGTAATATTAGAATTTCATCCTTTAATTACTTTCTTTTCAAACATGCTATTCCCAAGTCCTAAGATATTTGCTAACATCTGAGAGACCCTATAAAAGCTCACTTATTGGCAATGGATAACATTCAATTTCAATAACTGTTCCATCTATTTAAATAAATATTTATTAAACACTCATTATTTGCATGCTCTGTGCTAGATGCAGTACATAATACATAAAAGACAGCCTCTGTTCTCCAAGAGAGTTTCATGCACTATAGTGACTCAAACGAGGCAGAGACTACATGGGGAGTTGAGAGGACCATGGGAAGCAGAAAATGTTTTGTAAAGAAGCAAGCTTGAGAAGAGTTCTGAAGGCTGGCTAAAGCTTTGAGAACTGCTGTGAGACGGGGTAGACAGTGGAGATGCGTGCCACTGCAGGCAATGCGTGGAGGATAAAGTCACAGGGAGAGCTCAGGAAAACAAGTAAGCCAGTGATGCTGGAGCTCAGGATACTGGCAGAGAAGTGGATAAGGTTGGGGGGGAGTGGGGGGGAGAGGGAGAAGGCAGGGAGGATATGAAAAGAAACCAGCTAATTTGGCACTTTTAATAATCCCTATTTTTCCTTTGTTTGTGCTCCTTTGTATAAAAAGATGTAATTTCTTTAAGAAACTGTGATGATGGCATCAAAATTCTCCTCTATTTAAAAGAGGAAAAAGAATGTTTTTACTGACTTAATCTAACAAATATTACAGAAGTGTTCATAGTATTAGTGACCAGGTTTGTAATCTTCTGTTACCTTGGTTCCCAGATGACTTGTCAGCCTCCGAGGAGCAGAGTGTGTGCTACTAGAACTCAAAACACTGGCTGTTTCATGATCCATCCGTGTAGCCGAACTCTAGAAATTAAGCAAATTATAGATGGTGTAATTTAGATTGTATATAAATATAGCTAAGCTCATGTTAAGATACTCTTTACGACAGACAACTAAATATAGCATTAAAAGCATGAACATTGCCCTAAGCAATTTGGCTCCCTCGATAGAGCCCTGGCCCTCGAACTGAAGGGTCCAAGGGTTCGATTCTGGTCAAGGACATGTACCTGTTCTTTGGTTACAGGCTCAATCACCAGCCCGGGTCAGGGCATGTGTGGGAGGCAACCAATTGATAAACACATTGGTGTTTCTATGTTTCTCTTCCTCCCTTCTACTCTCTCTAAAAATCAATGGAAAAGTGTCCTCAGGTGAGGATTAACAACAACAAATAAAAGCAAGCAAGCATGAACATTATAATTGCTCAAAATGAATGTTTTTACCTATAAATTTATTAGGTAAGTTTTAGAGAAAAACTGAAGAAAAGGAGATTTGTTGCAAAAGACAGTTAAACTACACTCCAGAAGAAACCAAACACTGAAGAAATTCTAAGAGTAATATTTTTTACAGATCCAAAGACATGCAACCATATTCAGTTAAACATAAATTGATTGACAGAAAACTCCAATGATGAAAGGTTTCAAATTACTACAAAACAGACTGTAAATTCAGTATAGTCCAAGTTTTCTGGGAGATCACAGTATAGAGAAGACTGCTTAAAAACTTCTATTAGAGAAGGACTTTTAAAAGGCAAGTGGACAATTAAACCAACAAATTGTATTAAATGCTGTGAGAACAACTTTATATATTTCACAGAGGTGGGAACAAGGAAAGTATCCTGAAAGAAGTGCCATTTAAAACTAAGGGAAAAGATGCGTAAAACACATACAAGTGAACGAAGAAGAAGAGAGTTCCAGGCACGGGGAACATTATTTGGAGGACTTGGACATATTTAAGGACTGGAAAAGTTGAGCTGAGAGAGTGGAGAGAAACAGGGTAAACAGAAATACTGCTGGAAGAGTTGGTAATATAAATAACTTACATACTATTCTATGGAGAGTGGGTAGCCACTGAATTGTTTAAACAAATAAGTGATATGATCAGAATTGTGTTTTGGAAGGATCACTCTGATTATAATGTGAAGAATCTTACCTAATAATAGACAAACATATAAACTGACCATACCTCTGCTACACCACCAGCCAATCAGGAGTGATATGCAAATCAACCCAACGAAGATGGTGGTTAATTTGCATACACTGGCTCCAAGTAATGGGGCAGAATACAGGTGTTCTGCCCCACTCCCGGTCTCTCAGGGCCTCTCAGCAGTGTGGGAACGTGGGACTGGAACAGAAAGAGGCGGTTCCTGGGCCTGACAAGAAAGGGGTTGGGCCAGAGTGGAAAGGCGGTGCAGGCAGCCAGGGAAAGGAAAGCCCATTCTAGCACAAATCTCTGTGCATCAGGCTTCTAGTATACTAAAAAAGGCAAGGCTGAAGGCTAAAATAAAAGTTAGAACTCTATATAAACAGATGTGATTTGTCATTTTTAACATTTGCATGGATGTACCATGTAAGTTTCATGAGGCTAGGGACTATCTGTCTTTTTCAATTATCTATTTTCAGAGTCTAATACAGTATCTGGCACAAAATATATTTCTTTAAAAATAATTGCCCTGGCTGGTTTGGCTCACTTGGTTGGAGCATCATCTGTGCACTGAAGGATCGTGGTTCAATTCCTGGCCAGGGCACATACTCAGATTGCAGGTTCAAACCTCCTCACTTCAGGGTGTGTATGGGAGGCAACCGATTAATGTTTCTCTCTCTCCCTCTCTCCTTTTCTCTCTTTCTCAAATCAATGAAAAAATACACATCTGTTACTAATTATTAGTAACAACAAGAATGTTACCTTTGATAAGTATCTGCTATACACTAGGGACTATGTTAAGTCATACTGCACTTAATTCTCATAACTATCATACAAGAGGCCTGGTGCACGAATTCGGGGTCCTGAGAGGGGTTGTGGGGGGGACGGGACTGGGACACAAGTGGCCCTCCAGGTGGGCAGTGGGACACCCTTGCTGGCCTGGGATCTGGATCCGTCATTTGTGCCAGCTATCAGGAGCCACGTGGCAGCTGCTTTTATATTTTTTCTTCCTTATGGAACATCTAGGGAGGGGAAGTGGCCTAGGTGCTCAAGGCCAATTTCTTGGTGGCACTATTGGGATCCTGCCAGCAGGTCGGTGTCTGGCCCATTCTCTGGAGATTGGACCTGCAGGACTACTGGGGGACTGAGTGGCTGCTGCTAGGCTGGTGGGCCTCTAAGATGGGTTGGTCATCTGAGTAGCACTCCCGCTATGGGAGTGTACTGACCACCAGGGGACAGCTCCTGCGTTAAGAATCTGCCCCCTGGTGATCAGTGCATGTCATTGTGACTGGTTGTTTGGTTGCGTAGGCATATATATATATATATATATATATATATATATATATATATATATGTATGTATTTTTTTTTTGAAGAAGAAGAAACACCAAAACTCAGAATTTACTTGTCTAAAGTTTTGTTTCTTAGTTAGTTGGTAGGGGAGTGGGATTTATTTCAGAGCTATTTGACCACTAATCCACAATTGATGGATAATTTAACTAATTATTTATTAATGTAAATTCAGATTATTTCTATTTTTGCTGTTATAAATATTATGATGAATCTCTTCAAACATGTGTGAGTACTCTTGACTGATTACCTCATTAGTATAAAATATTAGATGCTGCAATTATGAGCTATAGAGTTGGCACATTATAAATTTAGATACATATTAAAAATTTGTTCTTCAGAAATGTTATTCATTTTGCACAAACAGAGGCAGTATATGAGGACGCCAGTTAACCATTAGCACCACTAAGTGTTATTGACCTTTGCCAAGACAATGGTCTCCAAAAATATCTGACTTTGGTTGTAGTTTTTTATTTATACATTACTAATAAAATTAATAATCTTTCTACATGTTTACAAGCCATTTCTAATTCCTTTTAATTTCTGTTCATGTCTTTTGCCCATGCTTTAAAAATATTTTTTAATCCTCATCTGAGGATATTTTTCCATTGATTTTTAAAGAGAGAGGAGGAGAGAGGGAAAGAGAGACAGAAACACTGATGAGAAAGAAACATCATCGATCAGCTGCCTCCTGCATGTCCCCAACCGGGCATGTGCCCTAAAGGGTATTGAACTGGTGGGTGACCTTTTGGTTCCTGGGTCGACACTCAACTGAAGCCACACTGGCAGGGCAACAGTTTTCATTTTTTACATCAAATGTAACCTATTTAGGATTAATTCTAATGAAAGAATTAATGAAAGAAGTATGATAAGGTTTCAATTATTATTTTTTAATGGATACCCTGATTATTGGGTAGGTAGAGCTTTGAAGTATATAATAACTGGAATATGATCCAAAGCACTAATGGTAAGTCTAATCCTAAGCAGAGAATTTTTTTTTCTGTCGAAAATTTTTCCCTTCTTTCTACTTATGTGTAGAAATACAAAGCTTCCCATGTAATTCCCTAAATTAAAAAGAAGTAACTCAAATGTGCTATTTAAATATAATTTCTTTTGCACTAATTTACCATCCATACTAAGAGTTTTCTCCGCTGCAATGCTAACTACTAATACTAAAGTGAAGTATCTTTTTGTTTTAACATAGTAAAATAAATTTAAATATTTTTTAATTTTTAAAAATTTAAATAAATTTAAATTTAAATAAATTTAAATGAGAGATTTTAAGCTTTACATTTTAATGAACTAAAAAGCATGCTTTTAAAAAAAATAAATAATATAAAGTAACCTAGACTCTAAAGACATAGTCTATATCAACAGTAGAAAAATTACTTTAAAACCAACTCAGTGAAATTCTAATTTTTAAAAAATCATTCATTTACAGCATAAAAATATTCACTGAAACAATATGGGGCATACAGAACACACCAAAGGAAAATTCTGTCATATTAGAATGCATCCAATAAAATTAATAGAAAACTAACGGCAGCACAGTACAGACAATAATTCTGTATTAACAACAACAAAAAAATGAAGCTGACTTCCAAAATGTTTCTAAAAATGATGTAACAATAGTTAAAACACAACTAGGCTATATATCTTTATGTTTTATGACTTGGATTTTTAGACTTATGTAATTTTGAAGTACAAGAGAAAACAAGAACATAAAAATGTCTTTGCAATGAATGCCTCAAAGAAAGAGCAAATCTATTCAGTGAAAGCAGTAATAACTAGGTCAAATCACACATATAATCAAAATGCAACTTAGTATTTTTATTTTTTCAAAAAACTCTAGCCATACCAATCATTTTAGACTAAAATAGAAATACACAATTTACATTATGAAACAGTCTTAGAAATTTGAAAACATTATTGTTAGATGTATAAAGAAAAATGATAGCATTTTGGTACCATATTCTTCTAAAGATATATATTTAGGACTAAGGAAACCAACAAGATTTACAGATCATTCTGAGGACCATATTTAAAAAATACTCAAATAGCTTATTTAAAAAATAATAATTTATATACCTGACCACTACCAGAAGTTGCCATGTTGATTTCTGCCACTCCTTGACCTTCATTCTGCCGCTCAGCTTCACGTGAGCCAGCTTCATGCTTGCTCTGAGATGATCTCTGTTAATATGGAGTTAACATCATTATATAAAAAAATGATGTCTGCTTTTTCAGTTCACAGCTTTTTTCTTTCTTATTTTAAAGCTCTGAATGCATAAATTATACAGGTTTACAAAGGCATGAAACTACACTTCAGACTTCATAACCGCCAGCATGGCTGGCAGTGGACTATTTCGGTAAGAGGAAAGTGAATTGTGTCCCTCGAGCATTAGAGCTGCATGAGACAAAGGATTTTCTGAGACTCAGAAACACCATCCTCCACCAGCTGTGCTCACATCACTATCAGGAATATAACCCAATTAGAACAAATGACGATCTTTTCTGCAAGGTCACATAATTCTGGCGTTTAACAGAGCTGCAAATATAACACTTAAACTATTATCTAAGCTATAAATACCTTCCGTGAAACTACACTTGTACATAGAATATATAGATATATATGCTAACAAAAATCATATTAAACAAAGATAAACTCTTAGATTCTGATCTAAGTAAAACTAAAAACCTTTTCTAATGTAACCATCATCTGTTATATGAAATGAAAATGACATTATATCCAGTAAAAGCAATCATTTAGAGAGAGAGATTATAGTCAGTATGAAACAGTCACTTTGTAAAAATAACACTGAAGAATCAAAGAAAGTTTCCCATTATCTTTTATAGAAACAATTACAAATGTGTTTGCTCTAGGAAAATGGTACTCTAAAATAAAAATTATACTTTAAAAAATATAACAAAATAGTGGATAATTATCTCACAAAAATGGCTTCACTAGAAGCTCTTTAAACATTAAGCTTTCCTATACCATTTATAATGTGACCAAAAATTAATTCCATCAATAAACTAGTTAGTTTATTTACATGTAGGCTAAAAGTAAGATAACTCCAATAATTCAGAAATAGAAAAAAATAGTGCCACCTGAAAATCACACACAAAATTCAACTAAAGTAGAGACTTACAAAGTCAATCTAGAAACAAAAAGAACCAAAACCTATAAAAACCACAACGATTTGACAGTAGCACTATTGAAGATGTTGATATATAAGCAATTACTGAGCATCTGCTATGTTAGTTACCTGCATTATGTGATAAGGAATACAGTGTTAGTAAAAGCAGACATTGTTCTATGCACTCTTGGAAGTTATAGTCCAGTCAGGAATACTTCCAAGCAATAAGAGAAATAACAATAAAGTTAAGATTTTGACATATGCTCTGAAAGAAGGGTACAAAGTATTGTAAGAATACTAGAGGCCTGATGCATGAAGATTCCTGCAAGAATGGGCCTTCCTTCCCCTGGCTGCCGGCTGCGTTGTTCTGAACAGAGCTGCCTTTCCATTTTCCCATGCTGCCCAGAGGCCCAGAGCGAATGGGGTGGTGCAGAATGCCTGCATTTTTGCCTTGGTGACGACACAGGCATCCCAGCCAGGCCACTCGGTGCCTGTGTATGCAAATTAACCCACAATCTTTGTTGGATTAATTTGCATGCTCACTCCTGATTGGCTGGTGGCTGTCACGAAGGTACAGCCAATTAACATCTTTTTCTTTTATTACTGTAGATATAACAGAAAGAGTCATATGGTCTAGGAGTTTGGGGAAGAGTTCTCTTAGGAAGTGTTTGAACTGAGATCTGAAGAATGAATAGGAATTTTTGGGAAAATGATAGAGGTAAAGGATAAAGTTTTTAGGTAAGTAGAAGATAACATGCTGAGGTGGAAGGAAGCATCGCTTGTTCTAGAACATCAGGAAATCATGGTATGGAGAATAGAACATAAAGATAATAAAATAATCTTACTGATTTTGTTGAATTTTAGTGTGATTCTCAGATAGCACTCTTGCCCCAAATAATTAATACTAGCATATTAATGAGAAAAGTTGCATGTAAATTTATTTTTAAAGTCAATTTTTAAATGGTTTAAGAAAATAGGCAACAGAGATCAGTTTGGAGGCTAATATACTAACTACTGTAAATGTCAGATGGCACTTTGGAGGCTAATATACTACTGTAAATGTCAGATGGCACTTTGCACTAGGCAAGCAGTGATGGAGATAAAAGAAGTGGAGACAAAGGTAAATCTGAAGAATTTGGTGATAGATTGGATACGGTGAGTAGAGGAAGAGATCTGGTGTCAAGAATTGCTCTTATGTTCCTTTCTTACACAATGGAATAATGATGATATCAATCACAGAGATAGGTAATAACTTAAGGAGGATAAGGGTTTTCTGAAGAAGATGGAGAGGTAAGAACAACTTAGGAAGAGATAATTTATTATGTTTTAGATTTGTATCACCTAAGTGGACTGGAACTCAGGGCTAGAAAAATGAATTTGAGAGCCAGTATTTTATAGATGGTAACTGAAGCCCTAAGCACCAAAGAAATGGTCTTAGGAAGAGACAACACACAGAAAAGGGAAATAAGCCTTAAGGAATGCCTATAATTAATGCCACATAAAGGAACATGAGCTTTAAAGGCCAAAGAGATGGGGGGAAAAATACAAAAAGTATTGTCATAGATGTCAAGAAAAGAATATTTCAAACATCAGGAAATATTCAGTAATGTGAAAAGTATCAAGATGAAGATTGAAAAGGCCAATTTCATTCATAATATAAAAGCCACTGATGGTCCATGTTAGTGAATATGGGAGTAGAAACTACATTGCTTGCACTAGAGTGAATGGTGGGGAGGCAATGTAGACTTAGAGTCTAGAAATACCTTTGGAATAGGGATTGGGAAAGGACAGGAGGGCGCAAAGGGGACAGATGAAGGAAGGGAGCAGTGGGATAGAGGAAGTTTCATTTTATATTTTTAAACAAAAGATTTGAGTCTGTTTAAATGTCATTGGAAACGTGCCATAGTAGAGAAAGAAGATAAATATTTATGAGAAAAGGGATAAGAGTTAAAAGTTTCTGAGAAGGCAGATGCTGAGAATCCAAAGTGCAGGAAGAAAGAAGGCAGGCAGAATGCTTCCTGATAGGAAGAGAGGCAATGACTATGAAAGCTGCTGTTTTCTCTGTGAAGGAGGGGGTGAATTATTACAGGGCAGGAGATGAAGGTTGAAATAGTTATTTCCAATAGAGGGAGAATAAGGGTTTCTAGAGAAACACAGGCATGCAGGATGATGATGATGAATATGGTAAACTTAAAAAAATCTAATGTTTACTATGCATTTATTATTTGTTATATATTAATTTATTTAATTCTCAAACCAAGTCTATAAGGTAGGTAGTTATTATTCTCATTTTACAAATGAAGAAACTGATACACAGGGAAGATAAATATCTGACCTTCGGTCACATACCTAGTAAATAATAGAGCCAGAGCTGGGATCACACCCCAGCCTGATTCCGGGGGCCAAATTAACATTTAACACTTACTACCTTTATTTTTCTTCCTCCTTTCTTATTTACTTTCTTTGTTCTTTCATTGATTTTTGCAACAGGCCTGCCTGCACTCTCTGTCCCAAACTAGTGCTAACTCTGAAGGCAAAGAAGCTACTTCTGATTCCTATGAAAGAATAATCCTAACTCATTTCTATTGTTGCTGGATAATTTACCAAAAGTTTTCTAGCTTAGGACTAAAAAATTTTTTGTTGTTGAGGTATTTACATGTCACAAAATTCAGATATTTTGAGTGTACAATTCTATGATTTTTATTAAATTTACCCAGCATCACCATAATCCATTTTTAGAACATTTTCATCATTCCAGTAAGATCCTTTGTGCTCATCTTCAGTTAATCCTCAATCCTGCCCGAAGCTGCAGGCAACTATTTTCTGTAAATATTTGCCTTTTCTGGACATTTCTTACACATAAGTAGACTTATGTGTCTGGCTTCCTTTACTTAGCTATATAGAATGTACCATCAATTTGCCTCTTTTTATTGCCAAATAGTATTCCATTATAAGGATATACCACATTTGTATTATTTGTATTCATTCACCAGGCAGTATATACACATTTGCATTGTTTCTACTTTTGGGCTAGTATGAATAAGACTGCCATAAACATTGAAATGAAAGTCTTTGTGTAGATACATGTTTTCATCTCTACCTAAGAAGTGGAATTACTGGGTCACATGGTATCTCTATGTTTAATATTTTGAGGAATGGTCAAACTATCTTCCAAGTCGCTGTACCATTTTGCAATATCACCAGTATTTATTCACATCCTTGACAATGCTCATTACTACCTTTATGATTATAAGCATCCAATTGGATGTGAAGTGGTATCTCATTGTGGTTTTGATTTGTATTTTCCTAATGATTAATGATGCTGAGCATATTTTCGTGTGTGTGTGTGGTTTCTGGTGCAATGTCTATTCAAATCTTTTGTCCATCAGCTGTCTCCTTATTAATGAGTTGTAAGGAGCAGAGAATGATGAGCATAAATATCTTCTAAATTATGGCTTTGGCTCTTTTAAAAATATTTTCTTTTTATCATAGTTACAAATTTAAATAGTTTAAATAATCACTACTTCTAAAGACTCACAAGAATAAAGAGAGGTCTCTCACATTTGCCTGCCCTATTTCCTATTTTCTAAAGGCAAACATTTAATCTCTCTCAGGGTTTCTTTTTTCTTCTTCTTTTTTAAAAAAAATATTTTATTGATTTCTTACAGAGAGGAAGAGAGGGATAGAGTTAGAAACATTGATCAGCTGCCTCTTGAACACCCCCTACTGGGGATGTGCCCACAACCCAGGTATATGTCCTCGACCGGAATCGAACCTGGGACCTTTCAGTCCACAGGCTGACGCTCTATCCACTGAGCCAAACCTGTTTCGGCCAGGGTTTCTTTGGGATGGGGGCATTTACCTATCTCTAAGTAATCTGCTTGTTTTGCTAGTTCTGCAATTTTCAGTGGAATGCATCACTTATTGATTTCTCATTATTGCACCCTCAACACCACACTTATCCTATTCCTCTATCCTCCAATACTGCTTTATAGTTAGGTCAATTTTTTCACTATTCACATTATTTTGACTATTAAGTTCTAATCATGGCTGACAGTTGCTGTACTATGATTGTTTCCTTTACAATTTTTTGCTGTTCATTGCGTTAAAGGTTTTGTTTTGTGTATCTGATGTTAAGTATTTATGGCATCATCAATTTCTCTCCTACTGTGTCAATTTCCTTTCCTTTCAATAAATTTAAAAACATTAAGTAGTCTACTGATCTAGTCTTCTTAGATTAATCTCTCCTGAAATCTTCTCAACTGTTCTAATATGGACTGGTTATTTTCTCTTATCAGTTGTCTTAGAATTTCCCTTAATTTTCATTCGGGGGAGTCTTTCATTTCTTTCTCTTGTATTGTATTCCCTATGTCTTGGATCCCAAATTTACATTTTTCTTGCTTTACATCTTCATTTAACTTAACTGTATCTTCTAATAGCTTCCAGAAAATAGTACATAAAAATACATATTTTGAAACTTTGCTTATCTAAAAAATACATTCTACTTTTAAATTTACTAGGCAGTTTGACTAGAGGTAAATTTATAGACTGGTGTGATATAATATAAAATATATTTTGTCTCTGTCCTTTGTTACTGGCACAGAACTTAAAAAACACTTGGAAATTCTTGATTGTGCAAATAGAGTGACTCAAGGAGGGCACCTAGAAAGCTTCAGGATGGGTACTGGTCACCAGAAAGAACCACCACATTACTAGAGCATTGAAACTCTGGGCCAGACTGACCTCCAGGGAGGGAAAGGGGCTGGAAATTGAGTTCAATCATGTAGCCACTTATTTAATCAAGCATGCCTATATAATGAAACCTCAATTAAAATTCTGGACACCACAGCTCAGTGGAGCTTCCAGGTTGATGAATACACTAATGTACTGGAAGAGTTAAGTGTCCAGATTTATGAGGAGAGAGCATGAAAGCTCTGCATCCTCCATCCTTCACTTCTCCAGATCTTGCCCTATGTAGTTCTTCATTTGGCTGTTCCTGACTGTATCCTTTATAATAAAACTAATTGTAATATACTTTCAATTTGGAGCCATTTTAATGAATTGTCAAACCTAAAGGGTGGTAGAAGTCCCAAATTTATAACCAGCTGGGTGCCTTGGCTTCTGAATTGGGGGCGGTTTTGTGAAGAACTCTGCCCTAACTGTAGGACTCTATAAATTAATTATCTAAAAGTTAGAAGGAAATAAAATTAATCAAGACTTTGATCATTTAATTTAATGAAAAAACTTTTAAAAAGTATATCAATTCACTAGAACATCTATAATTCAATGATGCCATAGCAATTGTATGTTTTCTTTTCTTAGAATAACTACCTATATTTAAATCTGCAAACAATACAGACAATTTACTAACCTCTGCTTCTGTTGCTTGGGACTGTAAAAGCTGTCGTATACGAAGTATGTCCTTCTCTATTTGTTGAATTCTGGTTACTCTTCGCTAAAATAAAATAAGTGATCAAATTAGATCTAGTTTTATTAAAGACATGAGTGTAAATAATCATACTAAAGCTACCAGTTAATATCTCAGGATTATGCTAGACAATTCTTAAGTTAGAATTTAGATATTTATATTCACACACTGATGACATTTAGGTTCAGTTCAAATTTTTAATACATCTAACTTTATTTATTATTATTATTACTTTTTTGTTAATCCCCACCTGAGAATATTTTTCCTTTTTTTTAAAAGAGAGAGTGGAAGCGAGGGGTGGGGGTGGGAACATTGATGTGATTGGTTGTCTCCCACACACGTCCTGACCAGGGCCAGGGATTGAGCCTGCAACCTAGGTACATGCCCTTGACCAGAATCGAACCCAGGACCCTTCTGTCTGCAGGCCACTGCTCTATCCACTGAGACATACTGACTAGGGAATACATCTGACTTTATACATCAGATTTATATCTCTGCTTAGCAAAATGGTACAAATATATGTCTAACTGTATAATGCATATAATGTGAAAACTTGGGTGTAAAAGCTATTCTCAAAAAATATTTCAACAAAGGAAATTATACATGAATTTAATGTTTTATATTATTATATTAAACCAGATGTCAATATAATGTAATAAATTTATATAAAACATGGGATGTCTGTAAAGGGAAAGAGCATCGTTCTATTTAAATGCTGATGTTTATTAAACAAAACAATAATTGATTAACATTAAATAAACATTAGTATTTAAATAGTATGATTAACCTTCCCCATAGTTAGTCCTATTACAAGTCAGTAGTACTTTCAGACTTAGCTTTCCCAAATATCTACTGCGGCTAAACATTATTTTTATTCCCAACACTGAGATCACAATAATGGTCAAGCTTTTGCTTACCCAATATCCTGAAATCATCAAGTGAACAGAAAACAGTAATTACAGATCAAATAACGCAGAATTAAAATAATCAAAAAAATTCTTTTGGAAAAAGCTAGTAATTTTTAAAAATACTAGTGGAAGTGGGAAAAACTAAATCATTTACATATAAAAAACTCTTGCAAACTGAAATTGCTTTTAATTAGCTTTATGGCAGATCAAATATATAGGTTTTAAAAACAAGTATTGCCAGTGTTGTCATTTTCTGAAATAATTCTATAGTTGACATTCTAATATTGAGCTATGAAAAACTATATTAATAAGAGTAATTGTTTTGATGAGAGAAAAAATGTTAGAAGCTAGATGGAATTATTTTCAAAGATATTTTTAATTATAAGCTCCATCAATAAAAGATTTCTGAGCATGTATAACCCAATAGATAAATAATAAAAGTATTTAAACAAATAGCTTTAGGCATATCCTATATAATAAAGACCTAATATGCTAAGCGTTCGGTCTTCTGTTCAACCAATCAAAGTGTAATATGCTAATGATATGCTAAGACTGCTCAACCGCTAGCTATGATATGCACTGACCACCAGGGGGCAGATGCTCAATGCAGGAGCTGCCCCCTGGTGGTCAGTATGCTCCGACAGAGGGAGCACCACTTGTCCAGAAACCAGGCTCACAGCTGGCAAGTGCAGTGGTGGTGCCGAGAGCCTCTCCAACCTCTACGGCACTTCTAAGCCATCAAATGAACATCCCCCAAGAGCTCCTGGACTGCGAGAGGGCGCAGACCATGCTGAGGGACTGCCCCCCAACAAGTGCACAAATTTCAAGCACCAGGCCTCTAGTATAGTTATAAAACCTATCAACAAAACTTACCCAGGATCATATACTAGTTTTGCTTAAATAGCCATGTACTCCTTTTCTTATTACCATAGTAAAAATGCTCATTGCTGCTATTATCCAATGTTATGATAATCACAGAAAAGCTCAAAAAAGTGCTCAACAACAACAAAAATTCCACTTTTCCTTCCTTTGTAACACTACAACTATTATGCTGGTTCTCTCTATCATGATTCTGAAAATAGTGAACTTAAGGTAAATAATATTCTCTAATAAATCTTACCAAGTCTAATTTACATAATGAAAACATGATGAAGGAAAAATGCCTTGTACTTTGGGTAGTTTTCTAAAAATATTGCAAAGATGAGTGATCACTTCTAAATATTTTCTGGTTTTACAGAACAACCAAACTACCCACAATTACTAGCTTTGTAATATTTTATTGGTTTCTCCTTTCTCTATATAATTAGCTCCCCTCTATTAATAAAGTCCTAAATTAAAACTTTTAATATTTAGAGAATGAAAATGAAAATTATATCTAACATTCCTCTTCATAACACTATATTTCTGTATTGCTAGTATGTCACTAAGTCCTTAAGTCAAATATTGTCCACTGAGGTAGGTGATTTCTGCCATGACAAACTTTGTGTTTCTGTTCTTCAACGTAAAAATAGCCAGTATTTTCTTTTTTTTATATGACAATCTTGAATATTTATGAAATTATGTTTAACAAAAAATGCTTAATTGTTCAGGTGTATGAAGTTGGTATGACTCTGAAAAATAGGTTTTAAAAATTTTTTATAGTAATACAATTCAATATAAATTCAGGATAACCTCAACAAATTAGAAACAGAGACTAAATTAACCTGATAAAAGAGTATCTATCAGAAACCTTGGGTACTAGTAAACAAAATACTTAATGGTAAAATTATAGAATCTTCTTTAATACAAGACTAGACAAAGAAGACCAGTATCACAGCTTCCTATTCAAAGATGTATTTGAGTTCTTATATCAAAGAAAAGGAAAAAGAAAAAGTGGAAGAAAACTGTCATTATTTGCAAATACTAGGACAATTTATATAGAAAATTTTAAAAAATCTTCAGATAATAACATAATATAATATGAGTTCAGGAAAATTACTGGATAATTATTACTTAAAAGCAATTTAGTAATGTAATTTAAAAAATATCATTCACAATAGTATTAGAGACCATAAGCTATCTAGGAATAAACCTTTAAAAAAATATATATATAATAACTTTATGAAGACTAAAGTTCTTATAAAACTCTATTGAAGAACATAACTTAAGTCATAAATGAATAGAGAGATGTAAAATTAAGACCAATACCTAGTATTTGCTGAGTGTTTATTATGTGTAAGCGTCTAAGTGCTTTGACAGTATTAAATCACTTAATCCTTACATTTTAGTTTATCATTATCTGTATTTTACTGATGAGAAAACTGAGGCAGAGATCACAGTGCTGTAAGTAAAGAGGCCTAACATTAGAAGCCAGGAGGTCTGGCCGGAATCCATCCTTTCCAAGAAGCAAGCTCAATATTATAAAGATAAATTCCTCTCAAATTAATTTATAAATTCAATATAATTCTGATCAACAGTCCAAAAGGCTTTTCTTTGAATTAGATAAGGTGATACAAAATTTCAAATGAAAGAGTAATCAGACAGCATAACCACATTCCCTCCTAGGTACCAAGGTTTATAAACTACAGCAAAATAAAACAAGTGTGGTATCAGTTCAGTCATAAAGAAAGTAAAATAGACTAATGGAAGAGTCCAGAAATATCCAGAAACAAATCAACTTAGCATATGCCAGAGATGGCATTATTTATCAATGGGGAAATATTCAATACCCAATAAATGATGAGAAATTTAGTCAACAATATCAATTGTTGGAAGCTACCCATTGTTTTCACTACCAGAGAAGTGTAAACAAGGAGCTGATTGTTTAGTGGATATAATGGCAGCTGGAGCAATTTCCCCGACCAGACAGTCTCAGGTAAATCCCTACTGATATGACTGTCCTTTACTGGAATTGCCTGCCTAAGGGCTATAGGTGTATCCAAAACTAAATAAAAGTATGGAAAGTTCTTTCTCTTGCACTGGGCTCCTGCTTGGCCCCCCAATTTTCAAATTATTATTATTATTATTATTATTATTATTATTTTAAAAAATATATTTTATTGATTTTCCACAGAGAGGAGGGAAGAGGGATAGAGAGCTAGAAACATCAATGAGAGAGAAACATTGACCAGCTGCCTCCTGCACACCCCCTGCCAGGGATATGCCTGCAACCAATGTACATGCCCTTGATTGGAATCGAATCTGGGACCCTTCAGTCCGCAGACCTAGGCTCTATCCACTGAGCCAAACCAGTTTCGGCCAAATTATTATTTCTTGTCTTGTCTCTGTCATTTGCATGCAGCCCTTCTCCAGAGGCCAAACCTTGAACCACGCGGGACGTGGGTCATCACAATAAATAAGCATGAATCTATATGTAACTGTGTGCATATATATGTGAACATATAATCAGTATGTATTATCTATATATATAAAAAGCTAAGTGACCATCACATTGGAAACAACCAAACTGACCGAGCAGGCTGCGTGGGGTGACTAGGCCAGCAGTGGGGTTAATGAGGGGCGACCAAATGACTGAGCAGCAGGCTGTGTGGGGCGACCAGGCCAGCAGGGGGGAACAGTTGGAGGTGACAGGGTCAGCAGGGGAGGGCAGTTGGGAGGGCACTTGGATTTATTTTTTACATTTAAATATTGAATCCATTTGTAATTTTTCTTGGACAGATATGAACTAAGGATCTAACTGAATTTTCCTTCTTCCAAATAGATTGCTAATTGTACTATTACTTACCATTTCAACCCAAATTTATAATGTAACTTTTATTTTACAAACTAGAGGCCCAGTACACGAAATTCTTGCATGGGGGGGTGGGGATTGTGTGTGTCTCTCAGCCTGGCCTGCACCCTCTCCAATCTGAGACCCTTTAGGGGATGTCTGACTGTTGGTTTAGGCCTGATCCCGCAGGGATAGGTAGACCTGCCAGATGACCCCTAACCACTTGCCTGCCTACCTGATCACCCCTAACTGCTTGCTGGGGGGCAGGGCTAGCTCTGGGAGAGGCTGTCTGCCTACCTGATTGCCCATATCCACTGGCCTGCCTACATGATCACCCCTAACCGTTGGTCTGCCTATCTGATCACTATAATTGCTGGTCTGCCTGCCTGCCTGATCACCCCTAACCACTTGCTTGGGGGCAGGGGCAGCCTGGTGAGGAGCCATCTACCAACCTGATCACCCCTAACCACTGGGTGCCCACCTGATCACCCCTAACCACTTGCCTGCCTACCTGATCACCCCTAACCACTGGTCTTCCTGCCTGATCACCCCTAATCACTCTTCCTGCCTGCCTGATTGCCCCTAACCACTTGCTGTGGTGCAGGGCCAGCCTGGTGAGGGGCTGTGGCAGTTCTGGTCTAATGGTCATTATGGTCATGATGCCATTATGGTCTCTGGCCTTTTATTATATAGGATTCCATGTAATCTTGCATCTCCTTCTATTTCCCATTCTGATCTACTTGCCTATGTATATTCTTGTGCTATCACAATGTGATTATTAAGACATCTTTACAGTAATGTTTAATGAATGTAAATCCCCACTTACTGACTTATAATTGAAATATAACAGTATATTGATTTTAGGTATATAACATGAATACTAAAGTCTCTTTTTGTTAATGTCTCACAAATAGTGCAGCAATGACAATCATAAAATCTATACCTATATTCTTATTGCCTTAAGTAACTGTTTCTGTAGGACATATTCCTAGAAGTCCTACAAAATTACCAGGTCAGAAGGAATACGCATTTAAATTTTTACAGGTAGTGCCACACTGGCCTCCACAAATGTATCTATCAATTTATTCTTACAAAAAACAGGGCAACACTGTTCTTACTTTCACACTCTAACAAGTACTGCATGCCATTAAACTGTAAAGTTTTTGCCACTCTGATAGGCCATAAAACAAATAAACAAAACCACCACCATCATCTCTACCATAACCACCAATATAAAAACAATCTATTTTACATTATATTTCCCTGATGACTAATGATGTCTACTAACCACTTGTACTTATTTATGATAGGACTACTCATCATATCTTCTGATTATTTTACTATTTGGTTGGCTTATTTTTAATTGATTTGTAGGTGCTCCTTGTACATCAGGAATATTAATTCCTTACACATATATGCTACAAACATTTCCATTATTTGCCTTTACACTCTACAACATTTCTTTAACCCTAACCTTGCTATTTCCAGGATAAATGAATGTTTGTATTTCTAAAAATGTGGACTGAAACTTCCTTAGAGAATTAACTACCAAAATAAAGAACAATGTATTCCAGAATAAAATAAAAAGGGACCATATCAGCACATATCTTAGCAAAATGACCAAAAAAATAACCAGTTAATCTATCTTCTAGCACAGTGGTCGGCAAACTGCAGCTTGTGAGCCACCGACCTAGATTCTCGATTCCAATAATTACAGGTTGTTGTTGTTCCTTGTGATTAAATCCTTATCCCAGTTATCGGCAAACTCATTAGTCAACAGAGCGGCAAACTGCGGCTCTCGAGCCACAGTTTGATGACCACTGTTCTAGCACATAGATTAAACTGCCTGAAATATACCTACTTATGTTACACAAAAATTCACACCTATCACATCTTTATGTTCCTCTAAAAACAAGGATCTCTAAAAAAAAACACACTTAACAAATACAAAAAAATGGACTTTTATGTATAACATTTATATATTCATATTCTAAGAAGATAAAGTTTATAAATCAAAGTAATATTTCTCTTTTTTTTTCTGTAAAAAAATCTGCCCGACATTTTATTTTTTATTTATTTAAAAAAAATTTTTTTGCCCCATCCCTCTGCCTGACATTTTAAAAGCAATTCCTTGAAAATCACAAATACCACAAATTCTAAATTTAATATATAGTTTTTGAAAATCTTTGTATATTCTTCATTTTAATTCTTTGTCACTTATATGGTGATAAATATCTTCTCTGAATTTATAACTTTCTTTAAGGTTCCTTGTGAAGATAAATTCTTTATTTTTATACAGTAAAATGTATCAATCAATCTTTTATAACTAAGTGTTTTATATTTTATTTTAAAAATCCTTTTATTTTAAAAGTTTTACTTTTGACTTTAAGATATTAATCTGAATGGGACAGGATTTGGGAATTTTAAGAGAATTTATTATATATACATATTATAACATATGTATGTATTGAGCATCTAGTCTCATTGTAAAACTAACAGGCTTGGACTATGAAAGATATATGGTTTGGTATTTAAGTATCACCTTAGTCTATAACCATACTCCAGCACAAATAGCATATACATTATGATTATGAAGCTATTTCATAAAAGATGAAGTCTTTGGGGAATTAAAATGTCCTGTGTTGGTTTTAAAACTATGAAATAAACTTTTCAGAATATAAAAATGTAGTTATATTACACATATGAATGTAGTTATCCCTTTTATTTGCTAAAAAAAATCTTTAAAATAATTTTTCCTCCCAATATATATATATATGAACAAATTGGTATATATATATATATATATATATATATATACACACACACACACACACACACACACACACACACACACATATACACACACACACACACACACACACACACACACACACACACACTTTTTGAATTTTCCATGCTGGCTTTGAAACAGATAAGGCAACCAGCAAAGCCTCTTCAGGGCTTAAAAACTTAATATCAAATTCAATTTATGGAAATGCTTAACAAATAACAAAGTCAGTTAATATTCTCTCCTGACATAGTTGAAGGTTGAAATAGGGAAGTGTTTTCTATCCAACTCATTTCCTATTTCCCAATGTTCTCTTTATATGTTTCTTTCCTTCTTCCTCGAATGAGGGTATCCTTTTTCTTTTTTTAGTATCTAACTTAAAGAGCAGCATTTGGAATGTCATTACACACACTCAGATTACAGTAAGTAAAATTTCAAAGGATAACCGGAGGTGGCTATCAGCTACGAGATGATCAGCATCTAACTCTTTTCCCACTTACAATTCTAAGGTAAAGCAGAAAAGTATCAGGAAAATGAAATATAGTGGAGGCAGAATTATGTGAACACTGGTTATGTTGTTTAGTGGCCATGGTATGTTATTCTTATTTTGAAACTAGAGGCCCAGTGCATGAAATTCGTGCATGGTGTGTGTGTGTGTGTGTGTCCCTCAGACCAGCCTGTACCATCTCCAATCTGGGACTCCTCGAGAGATGTTCGACTGCCCATTTAGGCCCGATCCCATTGGACATTTCTTTCATAATCCAGGACTGCTGGCTCCCAACTGCTCACCTGCCTTCCTGCCTAATTGCCCTTAACCACTTCTGTCTGCCGCATGATTATCCCCTAAGCACCCCCTGATCGACATCTAACTGCTCCCCTACCAGCCTGATTGCCCTAACTGCCCTCCCCTGCTGGCCTGGTCACCCCTAACTGCTTTCCCCAGCCAGCCTGGCCACCCCCAACTGCCCTATCCTGCAGGCCAGGTCACCTGCAACTGCCCTCCCCTGAAGGCCTGGTCCACCCAACTATTCCCCTGCTGGCCTGGTCACTCCTAACTGCCCTCCCTGCCAGCCTGGTCACCCCTAATTGCCCTCTCCTGCAGGCCTGGTCACCCCTAACTGCCCTCCCTTGCTGGCCTGGTCCCCTCCAACTGCCCTCTGTTGCAGGCCTGGGTTCCCCCGCAAACTGTCCTCCCTTCAGGCCTGGACACCCCAAACTGCCCTTCTCTGCCGGCCATCTTGTGGGTGGCCATCTTGTGTGTTGGAGTGATGGTCAATTTGAATATTACTCTTTTATTAGAGAGATTTTTAGAGAGGATAATGTCAAAGATAGATTAATAGTTTAGCTTGTGCTAGCTTTACTTTATTAAATTGGTTACCTGTGCTCGTTTTTCCATCTCTTGGCATGTTCCTAGTTGTTCTTCCATAGCAACTCTGATTTGCCTTGCTTCATATTCCAATTGCCTCCTGGTCATATCAGTTTGTAAGGAAAACTGAAGCCATAAATAAAATTAGTGTTAATATCTCACGCTTGTGTGTTTAAAGAAAAAAAGTACAAAACCAACAAAGAAAATAAATATGTATGTTATAGTGCATGAGAAAATTGTATTTCACTCCAAGCAGTCCTAAAATATAAATTATAGGTCCTAGGCTCAGTCTGGGTCCCTAAAGTGAAATGCAGAATTGAAACATTTTTACTGCCCTATCAGCACTAATGTCTAATTAAACTGTACTATTACATTTAACATGCATATAATTGGTCCAGTAAGCCTATCTTTAGTTTCCTTCTGATTCTTCTTCATTGAAGAGGTACTACTTTTAATTATTAAAAACTACTATATTAATGTGGACAATATAAAAAAATAAAAAAAGAGGTTCATTATCTTCAAGTTTGTACCTCAATTTAAGGTGAAGATTACCATATACATGCAGACTAAACAGAATTCCATTTGTAAAATGAAGAAAATGGGAAAAGAAAAAGCTTTATGTAATAGTCATAAATCGTGAGGACAAAATCAACACAAGCCCAAAGATTTCAGATTGTATTATCAGTTAACTTAGAGGAGCTCTGACCCTTTTCCTGTTCCTATAAAGAATGTATTCCTACAGGCATACCCAAATCATGGGCTGCAATATGGAAGAATGTTATTTCTAATCCCAGTTAGCCAGCTGTAACTCTATTGATGCGTCCTCCACTTCCCACTACACTCCACAAAAAAAGATGAACATGACACAGAATGTTGCAATACTATGCTTTAAGTCTGATATTTTAAAATCAATGTCTATATCTTAATATACATTTCCATATGAAAATGTTTTTAACTTGGCTTCCCAATAGTAAAAGCAAAATTCATAAAATCAAAAATAATTATGAAATGCAAGAAACTGCAACTGCTAACAATGTCAATTATTCCATAACCCATCAAGTAAATGTGATTATTAAATAAATTCATTAAGGAATAATTATTTTACAACTGATCTTTGTTTCAGATATTAACCAGCTGCTCTTGAATTGTCACATATATCTGACCCCTTTCCTACACCTGACTACACACAGGCAGTGGTCTCTAAATTTGCATATTTTAATTATCAAGGTGAATGCTGAACAAAACTACACTTTGGTATTTTTCCTTGTAAGAGTAAAAAATCCCACCAAACCTTCCTTGTTCGGAATGTCATAATACACACTCAGATTACAGTGCTAACAACTCTACAATCACTGTTCTTTCAGTATTTGTGTCTCCTTATTTCCCAGAAAGGTGTTAAGGACATTGTCAGGAAGGAGGATCATCTCTCTCCCTCTGAAAACCCTGAAAGACTGAGCACTTAAGCTTCTAGTTCTAGCTTCTGCCAGACAATGCCTACTCAGACAGCCTGGCTAACCACAAGTTTTAGAAAAAGGTTTTTCTTCCATTTTTGCTTTTAGTTTATTATGTTCCCTCAAAAGTACTATTAAAAAATGAAAAATCTAAGCTAAGAGAGAAAGATATATTTTAAATATATCTTCTTAAAATATTTTAAAAGTTAGAGAAATATATATAAACAACAGTTGAAATACAATCTTAGTTGAAATTAATTTATCTTAGAAATGTGCTTATATGTGCCACCTCCATAAATTAAGTAGGGAGGGAGAAGCTGACAAGATTAAATTCTTTTTAATTTTTTTACACAGTTATATTTGTTTGCAAAACAAACAAATTTTAATACATGCAAAAAGTTTTAAGATCCAGGTCAAAAGCTATTGTCATTTATAATAAATAAAAATAGCACTCAGCCGAAACCGGTTTGGCTCAGTGGTAAAGCGTCGGTCTGCAGACTGAAAGGTCCCGGGTTTGATTCCGGTCAGGGGCATGCACGTTGGTTGCGGGCACATCCCCAGTAGGGGGTGTGCAAGAGGCAGCTGGTCGATGTTTCTCTCTCATCAACGTTTCTAGCTCTCTATCTTTCTCCCTTCCTCTCTGTAAAAAGTCAATAAAATATATTTTAAAAAATAGCACTCAAATTATCTTCAGAGATACTTTTTTTCAAAAACTATCTGGCATGATTCCTATAATATGGTTCAAAAAATGGACAGATGGTGATAAACACTTCTACAATGTATGTTTGGCAACTCAATATACAATAAAAACAACAACAGTTTCCTACTTAATTTCTGAGTCCTTTAGAATTCAAACAATAGATTCTCGGAACTCAGGGCTTAAAAATAAATATTTGTTTGAGCACAATGAAGTTTTATCATCATTATAAACAAAAATTTATTAACTATTATATATTCAAGTTTAAAGTTAGTGTAGTTATCCCACACTTTTAATATATAATTTAGATACTTTTAAAAATCAAGTTAATACCCTAGCCAGTTCGGCTCAGTGTATACAGCGTCGGCCTGCAGATTCAGTCCCCGGTAGGGGGTGTGCAGGAGGCAGAAAATCAATGATTACTTCTCATCATTGATGTTTCTATCACTCTCTTCCTCTCCCTTCCTCTCTGAAATCAATAAAAATATATTAAATAAATAAAATAAAAATCAAGTCAGTAAAATCTATAATAAATCATATTGCCAAGCTACTTACATTTTCAGTTAAAGGAAGACTATCTATTCTTTTAGTGAGATTCTGAAGTTGAGCGTAATACCAGTCTTTTTCCTTTTCTTCTTTGTCAATATCAGCAAGAAGTAATGATCTGTGTTTTTTTTTTTAAAAAAAGGTTAAGGTTACACAATGCTAATATACAGTACATAACAGCAATTCTTATTACCTAATACTGTAAAGTTCTCTCTTCAAGTTAAAGTATTAATAATGAATAAATGAAAAACATTGATTTTTGAAGATGAGACTTACAATATTATAATCATTAAAAGTTGAATATTAAAAACAACTTTTTTTTTTTTTTACAATAAAGGTAAAATAAAGAAAAGGAGTAAGTATGTAGAAAGCTACTGAATTGGACACAAATGTAGTTTTTTGCTTCTCAGCAGACAAAATAGTAAAAAATATATTGTCACTGTACAATAAGAAGTTATTCTGAGGGAAATAACATTTTTCTTAGTTTGAAATTTGAAGATGAATTTATGTAATTTCTGAACTACCCAAGAGATGTTGTCCTCAATGACAATCTACATATGAAGGTACTCTATATGATCATTATAAACATAAATGCAAACGATGAGTGTCACTGAGATAAAACTCAGTTGGTACAAATAAACTTAGCATATTATGCTAAGTGAAATAAGCCAGTTAGAGAAAGATAAATATCACATGATCTCACTCATTTGTGGAATATAATGAACAACATAAACTTATGAATAAAAACAAATCGAGATAAAGAAGCATCAATCAGATGTTCAAACCTCAGAAGGAAGGTAGGGGAAGGTGGGGATAAGCGGGAAGAGATCAATTAAAGGACTCGTATGCATGCATATAAGCCTAATCAATACACAGACAGCAGAGGGTTGAGGGCATGAGTGGGAGTGGGGGGGAGAGGATGGGGGAATACGAACAAATATGTAATACCTTAATCATTGGAGAAAAAAAAAAGTATGTGATCTCTTTTTATGTGACTCTTTCCCAAAGCTGCTATTACCATTATCTTGTTTATTTATATTTCCAGAGATATTCTATAACTATGTAAGGATATATGTAACATTCTTAAACATAAACAGTACCATATGTGTTACCTTATAACTTATTTTCCACTAAAAAAATCTACCTTGGAGACAATTTTGTGTCAGGCCCAAGGTATTTTTATGCAGGGACATAGTATTCCAAGGTATTTTGGAATCCATAACCAGTTCTGTGGTAGAGGACATTCAGGATCTTTCTAACCTTTTGCTATTATAAAGAACTAGAGTCCCAGTGCACGAAATTCATGCACTGGTAGGGTCCCTAACTGCTGCTGGCCAGGTCCTCCCTCCCTTCCCCCAGCTGGCCCCGCCCCTTGGTTGAATTCCTGGACAAACTCCTAATCGAGGGGACAATTTGCATACTACACTTTTATTATATAGGATGCTGCACTATCTTTACACATAATATAATTTCACACATGTGCAACCATGTATACAGCTCTTGTTAGATGTTATTTATGTATCTATTATCTTCACCAATGTAAATGTTTTATTAAACTTTTTTATTGTTGTAAATGTAGGTTGCTTTTCCTCCAAAAATGGTCTCGCTATGGTTTTAGTTTGACTTCTTTTAGTATGAATGAGGGTAAGCGTTTTTTAGTAGCCATTTGTATTTTCTTGTCTGTGACTTTCTCTTACTTACAGAACCTCTTCTATGTTAAGAATAACCAAACTTCATCAGTTATATGGGTTGTAAATATAATTTGTCAGTTTGTCACATAAACGTTTACAATGTTTGCCGTGTAAGACTTTTTTATATTCTTTTTTTAAAACCCTCACCTAAGGATATTTTTTTCCATTGAGTTTTTCAAAGAGGGGAAGGGAGGGAAGAGGAAAGGGGAGAGAGAAAAAGAAACATCTATGTGAGAGAGACACATCAATTAGTTGCCTCCCGCACGCATCCTGACCAGGGCTGGTGATGAACCTGCAACCAAGGTATGTGCCCTTGACCAGGAATTGAACCCATGACCCTTTGGTCCATGGCTGATGCTGTAATCACGATCAAACTGGCCAGGGCATGATATTATTGTAATCAAATTTGTGGATATTTTCTACTATGGCTTCTGGAGTTTGCTCATACACAGAGAAATGCTCCCCATTCAGATATTGTTACTTTAAAATCCTATTTGATTATAATTTCTTGGGAAAAACTGTATGCATATATGTGGAAGGTTCTATGCTTCCTAAAATTCTCTTCCCTTTACTTGAGAAGCAATTTTTAAAATAAACAAGCCTTCACTTTTGATGTGGTAACTTCAATAGTGAGGGAACCCATGATGGGAAAATAAGCCCTTCTTATGATGCAGCAACCTTAGAAGCCATATTTCCTTCCACAGAAGCAGGAAAAAAGCACTGTAGAAAGCCTAAACCCTTTTCAAAAGCTGAGCACCAAACTAGCATAAAGATAAGATATAATTCTATTTTTCAGCTTTTCTTGGTGAGGACCAGTAGGACCCAGCAGGACTTAGGTAGGCAAAAGAGATAGGTGGTGACACTCTGATTACCCTTTAATAAATAGGCTTATGAAATAAGAGCTGGGTAGGTAAAGTGAGAGGTCAAATGTTACTGATGGTGGTAGAGTAAGGGAGAGGTTAGAGAATAAGGACAAGTTTTACTATAAAGTTTAAGCTCAATCTGTTTAAAAAAAAAAAATGCTTTGGAAAAGCCAAGGCTATAGTGTCTTGAACCAAAATGATAACAAGTGGTTAAATGATAGTAGTTGACCTTGTAACTCACATAGCAGTGCTAAAAACTCAGAAATTAAACTAGGTCTAGACCCAGAAGCAGGTAGGTCTTTAGGGTTTAGTGTACTAATGGTTTATATAGTGACTATAGGTTTGGTGTATGAATTCTTGCACCACTGGGGTCCCTCGGCCTGGTCTGTGGGATCAGGCCAAAACCGGCACTCTGACATCCCCTGAGGGGTCGCAGATTGAAAGAGGGAGCAGGGCAGGCTGAGAGATTCCACCAGTGCACAACTGGGTCCAGGGTTCCAGGGCATCTCGACCCAAATTGCTCAGTCTTGATCGGCAGGACGCCAATAGCAAACTAACCTACCAGTTGGAGTGTCTACCCCTGGTGGTGAGTGCATGTTATAGCAACTGGTTGATGGTTGACTGTCTGCCCCCTGGTGGTCAGTGCATGTCATAGTGAATAGTTGAGTGGCCTTAGCATATTATGCTTTGATTAGTTGAATGGCTGACCAGTTGACTGGACACATCATAATAGGTTTTTATTATATAGGATTGTCAATAGTTTTCTTTAAAAATGCCTCTTCATGTAAGCCTCATGTCTTCTTAGTCCTTAAGCTAATTCAGAATCACCTAGAAGAGTTATGGCACACAAGTTATTAGGTATTTAATAAGTATTTGTTAAATTAATGGCTAACATGACAATAGCTAACATTTATTAAGTGCTCTCTATATAAGGTATAGTGCTAAGGACTTTTAAAAAAATCTATAGATTTTGCTGAAACCGGTTTGGCTCAGTGATAGAGCATCGGTCTGCGGACTGAAAGGTCCCAGGTTCGATTCCGGTCAAGGGCATGTACGTTGACTGCGGGCACATCCCCGGTGGGGGATGTGCAGGAGGCGGCTGGCCGATGTTTCTCTCTCATCGACGTTTCTGGCTCTCTATCTCTCCCTTCCTCTCTATAAAAAAATCAATAAAAAATATATTTAAAAAATCTATAGGTTTTTAAATCTCCTTCTATAGACAGAAAAACTGAGAATCAAAAGGTTTATAGAGCTATTGACCTGGTTTTGAATCCTAGCTTGACTACTTACTAGCACTTACCTTGTGCAACACAGAAAAAGAGAAAAAAAGAGGCAGAGAGAATTAATCTCTGATTTTAGGGAGGTCTAGAAAAAAAGAATAGAAGCATAGGGGAGAACATAATCAAAGAAATAAACATACAGAATTTTCAAAAGCTGTAGAAAACAAATTTTCAGATCAAAAGGGTACACTAGTATCCCGCACGATGAATGAAGAAAACACACACACACACACCAAGGCATTGTAAAAGCTGCAAAGAGGAAAAATGGTTGCCTGCAAAGATATAAGAATCAGCCTGGTATCAAATCTCTCATCAGTAACATTGATAATGAGAGGAAAACGAATTTGAACCTAGCCCTACCAAACTATCAATCAAGTGTGAGAGCAAAATAAAGATACTGTTGCATAAGCAAGGTCTCAATTTTCTTCCCTCCAACACCGTGAGAAGAGGATACAAAATCTATCAGAACTACACACACAATACTCTCTCCTCTTTCTCTGTTAATAAAATAAGGACTTAACCTACATGAAGCAAAGTTCCCAAGAAAGTCAGTATGCTCACATGTCCTTTGCCTCTTAACAGAGCTCAAAGGGGACAAAGATGAAAGACCATAGATCCTAGTTAGCTTCTTTTTTAGCATAGTATTTCCTACACTGTCAGACAGAAACAGTCCAGGTTCAAGGTACAAAACAGACTCATGTGAACTTAAGAGATGTGACTCATGTGAACACTACTGGTCCAGATGACTATTCATGTTTTTGTAGATGGACAAACCTAAAACCAGAGAAAGTAATAAAAGGTCATTTGTTTCTCAGTGAGATATATAATTTCATATGTTAATATTTGATTTTGACAACTCTATAAGGTATTACCATATCCCAATTTTACAGATGAAAACAATATCAAAATTTAATGATTTGACCAAGGTTCCAGAGCTAATATGTAACATTTTTATACATGTTAACATTTCTTGAATGTCTATTAGAATTTTTAGGAATATAAAGATAATAAAATTTCATTCATGCATTGAGGAATTTACCTTTAGGAGACATATATTTTTGATAAAATTTTTGATAATGTTATATATTCTGATATTTGTAATGTGATGATTTTAACTGCAGGAAAAATATACTGGCTGTGAGACCAGAACTCATTCCATATGTCAAGCAATGTTTTTAACACAGAAACTGATTTAAAAAATGTTTTACTTGTGGCACTTTTAAGAGGTCTTCCATAACGCAGTCACCTTATAGTAGATCTAGTAGTTATTTTAGTTCAGAAGATAAACAGAAATGCAATTTAAAAAATCAGCTACATATTTTAACATAGAAATTGCCATCCTGTGTAGGACCCAATGTGTGTATTTATGTGACAAAATATAAATCTTACAATCCCAAGAAATTGCCTCCTTTAAACTTTTAGATTTCGTATAGGGACAATCAGCCACATACTATCTTTGAGTTAATAAATGCAAAATCTTCTCTAAATGTTAATGGTCATCCATCATACATGCTTCACAATTCATATTTTGCATTACAAAATGCAAAATAATACCAAAAATTGAGGCATACAAATGTTTGCTATTTAATGGGGGGAAAAAAAAAAGGTTACCTCTCTTTCTCAAGTTCTTCTAAATAACCAGTATTTTCTCTGCTTCCGTTTACAAATCCTCTTCTTGGAAATGAACCCACAGGAACAGGACTGCACTCCCCTGAACGACTGGATACAGATCCTTCCCGGCTTCCATAAGAACGGAGGGACATTTTGGACCGTAGTTTTACTCCAGGGAAATTACTGCTATCTAAGTTAAGCTCTAAATAAAATAGAGACAAGTTTTAATATAATAATAATTGCTTAAAATAGTTTAATTCAATATTATTGTTTTAAAAGTAAAATCGCAGGTTCATATTTAGCTCTCAATTTTAACCACTTTATAATTATAAAATACTTTATACGTATATATTACAGTAAGCCTATAGGAGAACTAAATTAATGTAACTATTAAGCAGCCAATTCATGCAGGGAGAAGAAATCCTTATCATAAATACTGATGCTCAGAGAGATTCACTGACTCCTCATTCTAGAGAAATGTAAAGGTAGGAGAGAGAATACGCAGAAGAATCCTGAAAACTAAAGATTAGAAAATTGCTAAGCCTCTATTAGGCAGGCTCTCTGAGAACCTGCAAAAGGACAGTGTACTAAAGCATCAAGTCAATAAAAGGACACACTTCTTGGTTCAGAAGCTTACAAATTCCTAACAGAGGGAACCACAAATATACATGACTGAATAAACAATTGTTTAGAAACAGAATGGCTAAACTTTCTCTCCAAAGTTAGCTTGAGTCAGAGGAAAAGAAGTCTGTTAAAGGAAAATTAGACAAAATATCCTTCTTTAGATTCATGCTAGACAATAATACATTTAGGGAACAAAAGGTAATTTCTTTGCCTAGCTTCAGTTTTAATTAAGCATTTTCCCCATTTTGACACTGGAATTTTAAGCAACAAAATGAGACTTTAAAAAAAAAAAAAGGCTTATAACCAACTTATACATCAGAGGATAAAGCATTTGTATTCCAGATGGAACAGAGAAGGACACACATCAAATGAGGCAATGTGCCCAGTCGGTGGTACCGTTTTCTAAAGGCCTAGTTAGCGACCAGCAGAATAGCAATGAGCCTTAAAAAAATATTGAAATGATCAAGGAAGGCATCTAAAAGTTTATTCAAAGCCAGTAAAATGTTTAACTGAGAAAATAACACGAAAATAGACTTTTTACATATTTTTACTTTAACACTTATATCCTAACTAGAGGCCTGGTGCACGAAATTTGTGCAGGGGAGGGGGTGTCCCCCCTCAGCCCAGCCTGCCCCCTCTCACAGACCAGGGATCCCTCAGAGGATGTCATACTGACAGCTTAGGCCCGCTCCCCGAGGAGAGGGGGGCTTAGCCACAGTCTGGCTGCTGGCAGGAGGCAACCTGGCTGATCAGGGGAAGGTGCCACCCCATCACCCCACTGCTGCTGCCACTGCCAACCTCCTCAACTGCCAAAGTGTTTTCATCAACACAGACTCCAGTCCCTTCACCATGAAAAAATGACAACTTTCTTTAGGCATTTTCAAGATGTCTCTTTCATATGATATGACATTTCTTTCTTTTTTTGTTTCCTCATCTGAGAATATTTTTCCATTAATTTTTAGAGATCGTGGAAGAGAGAGGGAAAGACAGAAAAACATCAATGTGAGAGAGACACTTCGATTGGTTGCCTCCTGCATGAGCCCTGACCTGGGCCCCGAGCAGGGAGGAGCCTGCAACTTAGGTACATGCTCTTGGATCAGAATCGAACCCGGACCCTGCAGTCAGCAGGCCAAGGCTCTATCCACTGAGCCAAACCAGCTAGGGCAGAATATGACATTTCCTAGATCCTCCAGCAGCAGACCTTCGTTTTTTCCTCCAGGGGTGAGGTAGAAAAACCCTAAATCATCTTCTTGGATTCTTATTAGGCAAGTTATCAAGAACAATGCGAGTGGCATACCGGGAGCTTAGCCAATGAGTGGTCAGAAAAGGTGGGTTCTCTCTCCTCTCCCCTCTTCCCTCCTGGCCTGTGCTTGGCTGCAGCAACTGCGGTGGGCCTGCCACTGTGGCAACTTGGGCAGGCCCCCCTGTCTCTGTCTCTGTCTCCACTTCAGTCCTTATCTGCACGCGTGCAGCCTTCTACTGACGGGTCATGACTGTTATGGCATCCCAATTTGCACATTACCCGCCGCCCCCCCCCCCCCCCCGTTCTGTCTGTCTGTCTGTCTCTCTCTCTCTCTCTCTCTCTCTCTTTCTCTCTCTCTCTCTATATATATATATGTAAAACTGCTATACTAAGGAAACTGATACCAACACCCAAATCAACAGAAGTTATACGTGGCTATACATATCTAAAGCTGACAACTAAAGCATAAAAATTTATTTTAAAACACTTTTTTAAAATGTACCTTTAAGGCGCTCTAATAAATCAATCTGTCCAGAAGATGTCATAGCTTCATCTTCAATACTTCCTTGTAGTTGTTTAAGTACTTCCTGTAAAAAACAACACAATATCTGAACATGACAAAATTCTAAAAAATCTTCTTGAAGAATAATTTTAAATATCTTAGTACTTAGGTATGGTAGATAAAAAGTTATTTTAGATAAGTCTAGAAAGTACTCCGCATATATTACCTAGTATGAATTAAGAGCAACAAATTATATTCCAACAATGTGATATTTTGTAATAATAGTAAGAATGAGTAGTCACTTGAAAGTTACTATATGGATAAATTATCTCTAACTTTTAAAATAATACAAGGTAGATTATTCTCATTTTTGGATAGGTCAACTGAGACTCAAAGAGTTGACCAAGCTAGTGAGCAGCAAATTTATGCAAGAGTAGAGGGCATCTTTATCACAAATGCTGATGTTCAGAGAAATTTACTGACTCCTAGTTCTAGATAAAAGGTTAAGAGAGTAAGTAGAATAATTCTTTTAAGTAATCAGAAAATGGCCAAGTCTCAATGAGGCTGGTTCAACAGTTATGTATTTAGAATCTGTATCTCTTAGGCGTGCACCAACGTGACTATAAAAAACATCAAATTAACACATTATGATAGGCTGTTTTATTTAATGCCCTAAAAAATCAAGCTTTTATATATCACATTTAAGTATATTCTTCTAGTACACCAATTTACATTTAGCAGATATGTGACTATATACTTATTGTCTCCTGACTTTTGATGCCATTATTTCTTCCCCATCTAAATTTTTTTCTTGATGTGATTTGACAAGATCCTTGAATGTGACTCTTTTTCAAATGTAGACTGTAAATATTATAGGTTTCTCCCCAGTCTTTGGTTTCCCACCCTACACAACTCCAATATCTGTCACTTACCTTTATATACTTTGTTTTCCAGTTTAGCCTGATTCTCAGGTGGCACCTGATTCCCTAGCCCTAAAGATTTGTCCCTTGGAGGCTATGAGCTTAAGTATTTAACCTCCTACTTATGTAAACTTCAAAGTATGGCAAACATCTTGAGGAGATCTGTCTTGTAAAGTTATATGTCTCTTCTATAGTAAGACTTTGCTTAACATTCTGTCTTTCTAGTCCATTCCCAGCATCCTTCACTACAAAAAATTTCAGCCAATATCCCATGGGGAAATCTACCCATGCATTTGGATCTCCTCTAAATATCAATACTTCACATCTGCCTACATGTTTGTCAAGACCTCCAATAGTTTTCTTCCTCCATTGAAATCATTCTGCCTGTAGCAATAATAAGTACTAGTTTGTACCCAAAATCAACATGTATCCTTGGGGAAGAAAATCACCATGACCATAATTAGCCCTGGAGTAAAAAAAAAAATACAGTATATACGACATTAAAGTTTAATTACAATTTCTGCATTTATCTGATTCCAGGTCAACTAAATCCAATGAAATCTCTATTATGCTTTATTATATTTTTATTATAGAAATGTCAAATATATACATAGTTATAAAGAATATTATAATAAGCTTCCATATATCTTCACATCCTGCTTCAATAATTATCAACTCATGGTTTGTTTCACTTATTCCCATACCTACTTTCTCCATTGCCCCACCTTCCCCCAGATTTGTAACAATCTCAGACATCATATCATTTCTTCTGTAAATATTTTAATACGTATATTTAAACATGGATTCTTTCTAAACACAACCACAGTGCCATCACTATACCTAAAAAAATTTCAAATATTCTCAAATATACAGTCAGTGTTCAGTGTTACATGCCTATTTTGCTGTGGTATACAAAAATATTTTTATAGTTTGTATCAATGCCATGTGAACAGCAAACAGTATCCTCTTTTGCCACTAGATGGTATTATTGCATAAATTGCAGACATCCTTAAATGATCTCATTGGAGGGACACATCTTGCCTTTCTTTGGGATAAGTAGCTTAATGATTAATATGCATGATTCAAGATTGTACAAAGTCTAATAAGTGATTTGGGGGAAGAGGGGGGCACGAGATAACTATTGTTTTGGATAAACTTTAATCCAGCATAGAGTGACATTGTTTCCAAGTGTCTTTTTACAAATCAATATTTTAAAACAAAATAAACAGGTCACAGTTTCTGCTCTTTAATAGCTTACAGTCTCTTAAGGAAGAGAAAAGTAAATAATTTCCTTATAAGGTTGTAACTGCTATGATACCATATGCCCAATCCTAAAGACATATGTGGATAGATTAGCAAGAATGTCTTGTAGATGCACATGTTGGTAATTATCAATTCATGGTTGAATTCCGATATATCTTTTTTTTTTTAATATATTTTTATTGATTTATTACAGAGAGGAAGGGAGAGGGATAGAGAACTAGAAACGTTGATGAGAGAGAAACACCGACCAGCTGCCTCTTGCACACCCCCTACCGGGGATGTGCCCGCAACCAATGTACATGCCCTTGACCGGAATCGAACCTGGGACCTTTCAGTCTGCAGACTGACGTTCTACCACTGAGCCAAACCGGCTTCAGCTGAATTCAGATATATCTTAAATGCCAATATTCATGTTGTATATTATATCACCGGATAAGTTGTCAACCTGATAGTCCATTGTAGAAATTTATGGGTCTGATTTGTCATTTACTCTGACATTCCACTTCAGCGTAGAAATGGATCTAAGGGTAGGATAATATGCCTCTTAAAAATGAATTTTGAATTTGTTCAAGTAGTTAAAAACTTCAAAGACATCTCAGAGCTATCCACTATAAAACAGACAGTCAGATAGGCCAGTCAGGAGTTCTCTGCAAGATATACCTCCAAAGTAGCTGAAAGAGTAGTCCTATTGGGAATTTTAAATTTTGTATCTTTGAAACTTTTGTCATGTCATGTAAAACAATTGTAGATACATTGAACTGGTCAGTGTTAAAATACGAAACTATTCTTTTTTAACCTAGTAGGTAACTAATTTGGCTATTTTTAAGGACACCCATAGTTTGTGGTAAGAACATACGTTTATTTATAGTCTTCCTTATTTCCAAAAAGATTTGAGGTAGATATCTTGGAGATTTATCGTTGCTAGGAAAAGTTTTTAGAACAGAAATAGGCAATTAAAACAGAAAAGATTTATACAGACAAATAGAAAAGTACACATGAGTAAAAAGACTGAACTGTTAGAATATTGACTATAAAGGATAAAAGAGGAGCAACAATAGTTCAGTAATATATAGAAGCTTGAAGAATAAGGAAGACCTCAAAATATACAGAAAAAGGACTCAGAAGAGAATAGACAATGAATCAGAAATAGGAGTAGTGAATTGATAGGAGAATAGAACCCAGGGTATAGAACCCAGATGTTAAAATAGCAGAGGCACAGAAAGAACATAAAACAGGAAAAATTTTTGAAGGAGGTAACAGTTTTATAGATGAATTCCAATTCTATAAAGTTATTAAATTCAGTGAGAAGTAAATCTACCTCAATAATTAAAAATTAAAACAGTTGTAAGTCTTAACCTTGATTGGTTTGAAATTAGAACATATTTTCCCCATTGCAGATTGAGTATTTTATATCTCTTCTTAGAGGTTACATAGCTTGTCATGCTATTTGGCAAACCAATTCTAGAGTTTGAAGGTACCATTGAACTCCTCTAGGGTAGTGCAATGTCTGTATTTTCCTTTGGCAACATAAAATTAACTCCAGAAGAGGACCAAAGGTGATGCAATTTAGCTTGAGACAACACCAGGAATAGGACTAGGTACTGATTTTCATTCAGGACTCTTCCCATTAAGGTCCTGTGATTTTCTTAATAATCTATCAGAGCTGCATTTAAGTAGCATCAAGATCTGAGATGGGGAGAAAAAGCTATGGGCAACCTGATTTTCTTGATAGTCTATAAACACAGCATTTAAGTGGCAACAAGATCTGAGAGAGTTGGGGAAGAAAGCTATCCTATATAATAAAAGCCTAATATGCTACATGCCCAGTTGAGGCTGTTCAACAACCAAAATGTAATATGCTAATGAATGCTAAGGCCACTCAACCACTCACTATAACGAGCACTGACCACCAGGGGGACAGACAGTCGACCAGTCGCTATGACATGTCCTGACCACCAGTGGTCAGATGCTCCAACCAGTAGGATGGTTTGCTGCTGCTGTCTGGGCAATCAGGACTGCCCAGACAGCAGCAGCAAACCCGTATCCCTCCCGTGTCTCTCCCCGGCCCCAATTGTGCACTGGTGGGGGCCTGGCCTGAGCCCTCTTGCAATCCAGGATCCCTTGGCGATGTCGGAGAGCCAATTTCTGCCCGATCCCGCAGGCCAGGCTGAGGGACCCCACTGGTGCAGGAATTGGAGCACTAGGCTTATATCCTATCTAATAAAAGAGTAATATGCAAATTGACTGTCACTCCAACACACAAGATGGCTGCCACCCTGTGGACACAAAATGGCCAACACAAGATGGCTGGCAGGGGAGGGCAGTTGGGGTGACTAGGCCTGAAGGAGAGGGCAATTGGGGGGGGATCAGGCCTGCAGGGGAGGGTAGTTGGTGATGACCAGGCCAGCAGGGGAGGGCAGTTGGGGGCAACCAGGCCTGCACAGTAAGACATTTAGGGGTGACTAGGTGGGCAGGGGAGGGCAGTTAGGAGCAATCAGGCCGGCAGGGGAGCAGTTAGGTGTCAATCAGGGGAGTGGTTAGGGGGTGATCAGGCTGGTAGGCAGAAGCAGTTAGGGGCAATCAGACAGGCAGTCAGGTGAGCGATTGGGAGCCAGCAGTCCTTGATTGTGAGAGGAATGTCCAACTGCCCATTGGGCCTAAACGGGCAGTCAAGCATCTCTCAAGGAGTCCCAGATTGGAGAGGGTGCAGGTTGGGTTAAGGGACACACACACACACACACACACACACACACACACACCCATGCTCGAATTTCATGTACCGGGCCTCTAGTATTTAATAATTGAGATATATTCTCAAGTTATGAAGCTAGTTCCTATGAATTACATAGAACATCCAGCCTCAGTAGAGTGGATGCTTAAGTTTAAAAATAACTTAAAAAATAACTAGTTATTGAGATTTTATACTTATTTCTTTATATGACTCACTGGGTAAATTCAATACATTTTATTTCACAGTATAAACGTTAACATTTGTAAGAAAAAGCGTTTACACATTACAACTTAACTTAAAATATACTTTTAAGAAAGTGAAGTGTCTAACCCAAGTTTACAAGAGGGAATACTAAGTAAAAATGGATAAACTACAATTAAAAGTCACAATCTTAATACCTTCATATTAGATGCCTCAGTTTCCAGTTTTGTAAGATGATTGGAATTATCTTCTAGCTCTTGTCGAAGATTTGAGTTCTCCATCTTCAGTGCCTCAACTTGCTTTAACAACTGATCATATGAAGCTGCAGCCATCCTTGGCTACCCTTGGACCTATAAGGTTAAAAAGGATTTTGAAATTCACTACTAAAAATATAGTGGCTGCTTGTTTATAAAGAAAGAGATAAAGAAACAAAATTCTTGAGACATTTAATAAGAAGAATTTTGTTAATATTTTAGTTTAGGTCTCAAAACCATATTGTTCAAGTGGAGAAGCATCTAAAAGGATGAAACGAAGGAGTCTTAGTTGAAGACAAACAGGACTAAATTAGAAGAGAACTTGTGTAGTGTCTGAATACATTTGACTTTTCAGAGTGGATGAGATTTTTATCAGGTTAGAATCTTTTCAAGATTTTAAAGATATTATACCTGGCGTAACAGGCAAAACACCTAGAAAATATAATTATTGATAAGAAATTTATTTATATTAACAATACTTATTTCTGAATTTTGTCCCATAGTCACAGAATTTTAGAGCCAGAATGGATTAATGAGATTAACTAGTGCATCCCATCACTAAGGCTAGTCCTAAACACCATGCATGGAGAAGTAGGTCTGAAGTTTCAAGAAGGCCTCATTAAAAGGCAGTCATTTAACAAAGTGGACACAAAGGAGAGCATTAGATTGAGACTTCAAGTCTTTTTTTTAAAATAAAAGATAAATAAGAATGACTAGTATCAAGTTATTATAATTACTCAAAAGGATGAATATAATAGGCCAAGCTATGGCATATGAGGTCTTGGAACCCACTAAGCTCAGATTGAGGCCAAAAGACACTTAAAGAAAATGAATAATTTTAGGAGTATAGCTTGTCAAAGAGAAATTAAAGAGTCTGAAGTTAATCATATGACTGTAATAAGAAGAGGAGAGACAAGAAAATATATAGAAGATAGCCAGGTAATAAGAGGTTTTTATCATGAAGAATATTAGAAAGGAGTTATATGAAGACTAACCAAGTTAGGAAGACCCAGATTCTCTTTTCAGTTTAATCCCAAGCTCACTTTGGAATAAATAAAACCTGCCTACCATAGTTCTTTTTTAAAACAATCCTCACCAAAGGATATATTTTATTTTGATTTTTTTTTTAGAGAAAGGAAGGGTGAGATGGGGAGGTCAGGGAGGGAGGGAAAGAGAGAGGAGAGAGAGAGGAGGAGAGGAGAGAAGGGGAGGGGAGGGTTGGGGAGAGAAGGGAAGAGTTCTCTGACTAGGGATCATGGTACACAGGATGATGCTCCAAACCACTGAAGCATCCAGCTAGGGCAATCATAATCCTTTGAAAGTTAAAAAGCATTACAAAATTTGTACTTAAGCAATACTTAAAGATCGTGACATAAAAAAAAAAAATGTTTCTGTAATAAAATGCACTATACAAACTAAGGCAGACAGGTTACAACACTGGCTAGTCATGACAATATTGGGAGTTCACCAACCAAAAGGCCCTATCAAGGGAAATCAGGGGACGTGGGTCTAATCAGTTCTCCAAAGGCTAGAATCTCTGATAAACCTGGTACAACCTATTGTCACCTGAGGACAAAAGAAAGTCCTGAAAGGTGGAAATCATCCACAAAAGTCTTTATGATTGAAAAGAATGCGCACCAGACTTTTATTTGGAAACTTGAGTCTTAATTTTAGGCTTAGTTGTGGTTTACCTTTGCCCCTTCATTTTAATTCATTTTACCAACTGTAAAATGGACATTTACTACCTGCTCTAATATAATTTACAGGGATACTGTTAGAATTACATAACAAAGCAGGATGAAGAGTAAAAGTGCTACGTAAATACAAGTTATATTATAAAAATAGACATGTAACATAACTTTCTTATTAAGACTTAATGTTGATCTACTATTATAAGACCCTGTCCAGCCAACCAATGGACAAGAGGTAAAGAAGTAATTGAAAAAGATAGAGGAGATGTCACAAAAATAAAGGAGAAAATTTTACCATTAATAAGCAGGTCTGGAAACAGGTAGCACATTAAAAGCCTGTGACAAAGGTAGAAATCAGACAGGACTTAATAATGTAAGCCCTAAAATTTTTTATTTCAAGTAAAATTTTAACAAGTGATTTTGCACAAAAATAATAAAGACAAAATAAGAAGAAAAGTAAGTAACACAGAGATGGATACATATAAGTATGCTAAGATACAGAGGATATTACCTTACACAATCACAGAAAGAGCCAGAGGAGTAGAAACTATTAAAACTGCTCTTTAAAAGAGGAGAAAACATTCAACTCTTCAGATGGACAATTAGAACATTCTATCATCATTGATTTCCTCTCCAGAAGACAATCATTAAAGTACCTTCTGTTGTAGGAAGAAAATGTTTCATATAATTTTATCGGAAAAATAGGATGTTTCATGGAGTAATAGTGTACCTTATATTCTTTTAGGATATTGCAACCATCCTTCCCTAACTCGAAATTGCTTTATGCAAAAATTGAGAAATCAATCATAACTTTACTTTGGAATGCTTTTTATACAATCACAAGAATTTCATACCAAATACAGTTTAAATGCAAGTAACTCAATATTTAGGAAAAAAAACTTATAAAAAGGGAAAATATCTGAATCTTTCACTTTGGTGACAGTATACAAATATTCCAATTTGTTTTTCTATAGTGAAGATGCTAATCTAAGAGTAGGGTAAGGGAGAAGAAAGCTTTTACTGTTTTGTCTCAATGAATGAAGGGGGGGAAAAAGTTGTATTTGTCAATACTTTTAGATAGTTCTTTTCAGAGAAAAATACCAACAGAAAGAGAAGAAACCAAAAGAATCAATCATAAAACACTATTTCTAGTCAACACAAAGAATAAAATTAGAAAGAAATACTATTGGTAGATGATATAATTATATACCTGGAATATCCAAAAGAACCAACTAAATATTGCTATAATAAGTTAGTAATGTGCTGTAGTACAAAATATAAAAAATGTTTCCTTTATATATACAAAGAGAAATCAGATAGAAGATGGAATAGGAGGAAAGATCCCATTTACAATTTAAAAAGTAATAAAATACTTAGGCATAAATTGAACACTGTCCAAAATGTATGAGGAAAACTTTAAAACACTTCTGAATGATACTAAAGTAGACTTCAACAAAAAGAGAGACATACTTTGTTCTTGTTTATGAAGGTTCAGAAATGTAAGGCGCCATTTCTCCCTAAGTTAATTTATAAATTTTATATTGTCCCAATGAAAACAGGATATAAAATTTGTTTGTTTTCTGCCGCTAAATATATATTTAAAAAAAACACACCTAACAAGCAAAAATAGGAGAGCAGGAGGAATATACCTACCACATTTAAAAATTCTATACAAAATCTTTATAAATGAAGCAGTATATAGTTAATTATATCTTACTAATAAGTTAACTTCTGAGTCTTAATAATTATATTATGATTATGTAAAATGTTAACATTAGGGGAAGCTGAGTGAAGGGCATATAGAAACTCTGTACTGTTTTCCAACTCTTTGTAAATCCAGTTACTTAAAAAGAAAGTTGTAAAAAAGCTCTGATATTGGCATATGAATAATTTACCATTAAATACAATTTTAAAAATCCAGAAGTAAATATATGTAAATTTGGTAAGCCATCACAACATGTGAAAGATAGACTTTAAATAAGTGGCATGGGAAACAGGACAACCATGAGAAAGAAGAGAAAACTGCATCTATTCCTCAGATTAGGATAAATTGTAAAAAAGCCCAGAGATTTAAAAACATTATATGACATCTAAATTATTGAAATAGTTTTGTTTTTAAATTAAAGATTAATTGAATTAAATTAAATACACCCTCTTCCAAGGAGGATGTTATGGAGCAAGAAACAATAACTAATTTGTTAATGAGTATAAGGCATGTTGAGGGTCAATTGGAGTTCTCTGAAGTGATGGCTGTTATTAGAATGGAGTAACAGAATGGGTTCTTAGGGAACAAATGGGAAAGTTTTTATTGGTGTAAAAGCATAACTACTTTTAAATAAGTAGGAAGCAACCATGCAGTGGAATACTGTACTGGCACTCAAAAGAAGACATTAATGTAAAAGAACAACAACAAAAGAAGTGTGCTGATCACTATGTTGCATATGGTCTGTCCTGTTCTAGTAAAAATAAAAGGATTGTATAGATTTAAAATATTAGGATAAAAAACAACAGACACTGTCTCTAGAAAACAGGTCTGAGATCTGCAGAGAAGAAGCCTTCCTTTTTATTGTATACCCTTTTGTAGAGGTTGAAGATTCAACCAAAAAGTTGAAAACACTACCTAGGATTAGAGAGAAGAGCCTAAACATATAAAATGAACATAATTCTAAGGTGGGAGGTGGAGGAGGGAAATTGATTAAAGAAAAAACAGAAAACCTTAATAGTTCTGTAACTTTTGAAAAATTGTGGAAGTATTTTTCCTCTCCTTCCAACACCAATAAACATACAAACAAAACTCCACTGATACAAATGGTTGTAGACACCTTCTACCAAAATTTAATAAACAATTTGTACCAACTTTATTCAAACCTTCTAAAATATAGAAATACGTAAAATATCTTCCCAGCCAAAACCGGTTTGGCTCAGTGGATAGAGCGTCGGACTGTGGACTGATAGGTCCCAGGTTCAATTCCTGTCAAGGGCATGTACATTGGTTGCGGGCACATCCCCAGTAGGGGGTGTGCAGGAGGCAGCTGGTTGATGATTCTCTCTCATCAATGTTTCTGACTATATCTATCCCTCCCCCTTTTTCTCTGTGAAAAAATCAATAAAATACATATTTTTTAAAAATATATCTTCCCAATGCATTTTATAATGCCAATATAATTGCAATATAAAATCAAAGGTAGTATGAAAAAGAATGATTGTAGGCTAGTATCATTCATGAATACTGATACAAAGATCTTAAACAGAATATCGCAAAACAGAATACAATAATATACAGTAAAGAAACTATAGCAGGGCCAACCTGAGTTCAGCCAGGAATGTAAGGATTGTTTAACATAGATCATTTATATGTATCATGCACTGCATTAAAACATTATAGGA